GGCAATGCTCGGATTTTTTGCCCGATTGTGCTCGACACTGGTAGACCTTTACGCACCGTATCAAAGGCTCAAGTCTAGGAAACCCCCCCCCCCCCAGCCGACTTTTCATTTTTTCTACCTTCCTTATTTTTATTTTTCGCTATTTTTTTCGACTGAACTGCAATGTAGTCTTACTAATTAGCCTACGGCGAACATATTGTTATACTTTAGAGCTCGCTAGCACAAACGGGGGCCCATATACAAAAGTTGGTGCCGGCTGGGGGGGGGGGGGGGGTTTTCTAGACTCTTACCGTATCAAATTTTTGAAGCCACATTTTTGACAGAGCCTAATAATAAACATTTAGTGCGGCTGGCGGGGCGGAGATCCGGAAGCCCAGGTTCGTTTCGCCGCACCTTGTTGAAGTTGTCGCCACCGGTTCCCGATAACCGCATCAATTCTTCTTCAGGATGACTTGAAATGCGCAACGACCCTCAAACCCTGCGCCAGCAACTCGATCGTTATGGAGCCTGAGACAGCGGCCGGGTCAGAAGCTCCGGCTACAAAACCCGCGAACGTACCCCGGGCCAGCTACCTATCCGTGGAGCAGCTGCTACGGCTTCCCGTCGAAGTTCAAATGCATATCGTTGCTTTTATGGGACCGGCCGAGATGCTTGAAATGGCGTATGCTGCCCCGCTTTTCAAGGTGATCTTAGTGCGCGGTGTTTCGCTAGCGAATGAGCTGTGATCTTGCTGAAAAGTCTAAAAAAGTTATGGCAAATATAAAAAACTTGAAAATCGGCGTGAGCTGCTGTTTTTCGACACTCGCGCTATTTTTTCGACGTTTTAAAGACGCCATTCGATAGAGCATCCGAAAATTTCATAAGAGTTTTAATTTTAGTTCAAAACAATGTGATAGCAAATAGTTATGACAAAAACAAGTATTAAACTTTGTTTCCATGGAGGACATAGAAGGAAAGCAAGTTTTCGATTTTTCGATATTTTTGCAAAATTTCTTTGGTGCCATTCGATAGAGCGTCGAAAAATATACCGGTCGCGTCCGGTCATACAAGGTGTCCCAAACCCCCCCTAGCCGGCCGCAGACCTGTCCGATTTTTACGATTTAGGTATCTATCGAAAGCTCTCGGAAAGGCGAGTCCAGCACGTCTCGCCGCTTCGTAAAATTTTAAAAATTTTTTATCATTTACTAATGTTTTTGCGAAACGGGCGGATTTTCGGATGTTGTTCTGACCCAGGGGTTTTTTACAAAAATCAAAATTTAAGAATTTTTGCGTCTTTCCTGGAAGCCCAACGACCGCTTTTTGAAAGGCATTTGCGAAAACACAGCTTGGATAGCGCTTCAACCGGTTAAATTGCGTTTTGGACAAAAAAAACGTGTTCTTTTTGCATGAAAAATGCCGAAAATCGAGCAAAAAATTCCGACATTTCGAAAATCAGAGAGACGTGCTGGACTCGCCTTTCCGAGAGCTTTCGATAGATCCCTAAATCGTAAAAATCGGAGAGGTCTGCGGCCGGCTAGGGGATTTTTTTGGGACACCCTGTACAGGTTGGTCGGCCCCAAAGACCGTCCTCCCGTCCCCCCCTCCCCCACCCGCGTAGCCGACATACCCCTCATCCATTACAGGCCTTCATCACTGCCGTTCCCAAATGTTGGGCGCAGGTCCACTTGATGGGTGAGGTCGCAGAGAACGAGTATTGGTAGGCTAGCTAATTTTTCCTTAAATGGCCAATTAAGCGATTTCGCGTTTGGGAAGCGGTTCCCCAGCAACGACCCGACATTGGCTGTTGCTTTTCCTCCGGAATGCGGGTAGGCCAGCTAGCGGCTTATTAGGGAAATGGACGGCCCAAATAAAGACACCCGGCCCTTTAACCGACCGCATATGTGGCCGATCTTGACGATTTCGATATCTATCGGACGCTCTCCAACGAGCTGAGGAGATGTGGTATTTCCGACCTTCGAAATTTTCGAATTTTGAGCTCAATTTTACAGTTTTTTTCAAAAGTTACATCTTTTTCCAAAAAAAACTGTGTTGATCGGCGGCTGTTTCGGGAAATTGGGACTTTTGAAAAATGGGCGTGACCACATCTACGCAGTTCGATGAGAGCTTTCGATAGATACCTTAAAGGTACCCTAAAATCTCGTTCAAAAAGTCGGTGAGGGTCGAGAATTTGGGTCCCGTTGCCGCGGCTTGGCCCGACCCTTCTTACCCCCTCTTCCCTTTCCCTCTCCCGTGTCTCCCATGGCCTAGTGGTCCAAAGCGCTAGTCCCAGGCGAGTGGCACCAAACCAACGAGATTTTAGTGTACCTTTAAAGGGCACGTTCAGGGACGTTTTTTGGGGAAAAAGCAAATATTTTTGCCGCGGCCGGGGGTCGAACCCGGGCCACCCACTCGGGAGGCGCGGATGCATACCAGTCAGCCACAGCTACAACCTGGCGAGGGGCCGACGGGCGCCCCACCCCGCAAATGAGGGGAATGGCCTGTCACAGCACAGGCAGGCAGTGCGCGCGGTCCCTACTTCCATAGGGTGTATACGTTGGACAGAGTGGGAATAATTGCGTACGTCTTGAAAACCTGACTTTTTTTGATCATTTTCTTTGTGTGTTTGACCAAAAAGTCAACGTTTCTCAAACTTTTGTAATTTTATTTAATCTTTTGTTTATTAAAAACCGTAAAAGTGGGGAAAATTCAAATTCTATTACGCTCTATCGCGCGATGGCAGAAAAATTTGCTTGATGGCCAGCACTGAAGCACGGTTCAACGTTTCAACAAATCTCTTTGGTTAGAGTGCAGTTTACCCCCCCGCAGCCCAAACTTTTCAGCCATACGTCCTATTAATGCGCCGAGTATCTCAAAATGTTCGCCGTGGTCGAATTACTATAAACAAGTTGTTTTCTTGCGGCAAAAATTGCTAAAAAAATTTTTACAAGATTTTGAAAGTTGAAAAGATTAAGCCGCTATGCTTCGATGTACTAGGAGTCTAAAACTCAAATATTTTTATTTTCCGCTATTTTTTTGGCTCAAACGTACTGTAGGCGTATTCTCCAGAGCAAGAGCTACATTTTGGTACTATTGACAGCTTTGTACGTCAAAAGTTAGCCGAGATACGAAAACTCACTTTGGAACAGCAAAAATTAACTAAAGAAAACCCAGACTTATAATTGTTATAAAAATTTTTCTAACAATTTTTGATGTAAGAAAACAACTTTTTATAGTAATTCGACCACGGCGAACATTTTGAGATACTCGGCGCATTAATAGGACGTATGGCTGAAAAGTTAGGGCTGGGGGGGTAAACTGCACTTAAGCCATCTCTTTTTCAGCGAACTAACCTGTGGGGTTTGGTTTTGGAGCCTGCCGCTGTGTGAACCGCAGCGGGCTCAAGCAGTCATTCGCTTCACTGAATCCGTACACATTCTGGCCAACAACTCGCGCGTCGGTGTGGTAGGCGTGAGTGGCCCGACAGCCTGCCGAACCTGGAAACCGAACCTCCGGGCAAATACCATCAACATTACCGACGTGCTGCTGTTCAGAGATGGATGGCCGAACGGATCAGGTCTGTAAAGCGTTTTGGTTTCTAAGCCGAATGCACAGAAATATACGGCGCCCGCGCGGTGCATCTCGATTGGGGATATGTGGTGCATGACGATGGGCTTTGGAAGAAATTTGTTGACGCGGTGAATGGATTGCCGGTGGGTTGCGGCGACGGCAAAACGTCAAAACCCCGAAGGCCAGAAACACTAAATTTTAAAACCATTTTTGCGTAAAACGACCGGAAATTTCATATTATGGCTGTCGGGATTATCGCAGTCGGGGTTGTGGCTGTCGGGATTAAGGGTGGAATTTGCGGAAACACTATTGAGTCGGTGCTTCCAGGTTATCGGGGGTCGGTTATTTTAGCGGGGGTCGGTGGGCATCTTCTTTTTGTTTAGCCTATACCTGCCTAGTGATAAATTGTAGTTTATTTTAATACTGTTTTTAGTAGCTTCCGATAATCAAAAATTATAAAAATATTTATCCTATAGTCACGAAATCTAGGGTTATAGCGCGGTTTTAGCCATTTTCATATGCGTTAGACCGAAAAAGAAATTTTTTTTCAACATGTTTTATGACGTTTTTCTTAATGTCTCCTCCCCCGATAACAGCCCAGAACCATTTCAAACGGCGCACCAGTCTATAAAAACGGCCAGTTTTTAATTAGCCGAGGCGCACGATATTATAGAAAAAAGTTCGCAACCGACCCCCGCTAAAATAACCGACCCCCGATAGTCTGGAAGCACCATTGAGTCTATTTGCGACAGCGGCTGGGGATGCCTTTTATTTTGCGCTAATTAATATTTAATGTATTTTATGGCGTTTTTCACTTTTTCAATGCTGGCAAGTTACAAAAAAAAATGTGAAAAATTCTTAACAAGTGAAAAAGTGCTGCCAATGTTGCATCTATTTTTGAGCAAAAGAATGAATCTTTCGCACTTTTTATATGAATTTTATAAAACTGTGTGAAGTGCAATCAAAATGATCTATATAAGGCGCAACGTATTTTACGCGTCGTACGGGGTTACGGGAAAATTAGTTATTTTGTTAACAAATTTCGTAACACAGATTTTCGTTCTTTCAGCAGGTCAAGGCACTGAGCCTTCGTCTACCAGACGGGATAACTCTGCTTCCCGAATTGCCCATGTTGAAAGTACAGACAATGACGATCTTCTACGCACTGCCCCCGGGCATGTTTTTTCAGCTCCCGGGTGTTGCGCGGATGCCGTCAGAAGCTTCCCCCCATCCGCGGAGAAACGTCTGATGGCTTCCGCACAACAGCCAGCCTTCGTTAGCAAATCCTGTCTTAGAGTTTTTTTACCAGGACTGCGGTTCGGCGTCAAAGCGCCGATCCGGGGCCATTTATCATACATCAAATACCGAAACTTACAGATGAGCGAGGGTCGTACCACAGTCCGCCCAGCACCGTGTGTGAATCCCCATCGCTGGTCGTCATCTTTTTTCGTCAAATGATTACGGTAGCTTATTAGTTGAAAAACGTATTCAAATTGTCATGTTTTCGCTTATGATACAATTCTCCTTTATACCAATTTTATTAGCACATGAGCGGTGAAGGTTCTTTAGGATTCGCGGATGAAAAGAATCACGGGGGGGGACCGAATTTTTTTCGGCGCTGGCCTAAGTTTTTTTAAGACTAGCGGATGCGTTTCTAAATGGTTTTTAGCTATTCCTCAGTATAAAAACTACTTAAATTTAACTAAAAATTTAATTTAGGTCGAAAAATCCTAAAGAGCTTGTAAGATTCGCGGGGGGAGGACCCAAAAAAGGCCAAATTTCCGATTTTTCAAGCATTTTCTAAGTTTTTCTAGCTTTTTTCAGACATGGCAAAACGGCCGGCCGAGGCCGGCCGTTGGGCCGTTCCCAGACTGCCCTACGGCGCGGCCGGCCGGTAGGCTTTTAATTTGCATACGAGCCGGCCGTGGCCGGCCGTTGCATGATAATACGGCCTTCGGGCTACCCTACATGTCCCACTCCACCACATCCTTTCCCACCTCCAACAATACCCCCGATAGCCGAAATCCCGTTCAAAAACTACCTAATTACCTTCCCGATGGCTTCAGATACCCCCCATGGCTGAAATCCCCATCAAAAACTACCTAAATACTTTCCCGATGACTTCAGATACCTCCCATGGCTGAAATCCCCTTAAAAAACAAAAATAACGACCGACCGGATACGTGGAGAAAAAAAAGAAATAAAATGGCTCCCGTAAAAATTTTCATCCACGAAACGCGCGCCACCTGGCTCACTATCTCCAAAATCACCCCAACCTCCGTCCCCCACCCCTTTTACTAAGAAAAAACTTTCCAAGTTAATTTTAATAATCCTACTATATATAAAAAATAGTGTTTGTGTGTGTGTGCCACTTTGCATGCAACTTCCGTCAGGGTGTCCGGAGGATATCTCGAGAGGGAAAGGGTTTTAAGCAACGTATGATACGTCATTAGGTGCGTAATGGCGCTGAGATGACTGCACACACATCAGATTTTGCAAATCATGCTATTTTCGACGTTAAAATTAAGTTTTTGTTAGAAAATGGAGCACCCACTTTGTTAGGAATCAATTAGCATATGCCGGAAATGGCGCGCGCCTATATAGTGGGCGGAGGGAGAGATTTTCATTTTTTTGTCATCGGAATTCACGAGAATTATGCAAAATGAAGCATATTATGACGCTAGACGGGGGCCAGGGTTGAAAAGGCGCGAAGCGGCTTTTCAACCCTGGTTTAAACTAAAACTTTTTCATACGTTTTTTTTATCAGTTTGGGGGTTTCTGATCACGCTCTATCCGAATCCGAAGAGAGCTAACTAAGCTCTAGCTCTTTCTCCTTCGAGTTGGATTCGGCTTCGGACAGACGGACGAAGACCACAGCAAAATTATTATAGTTGATGATTCTAGACATGGGCCAAAAAAATTCGGTTCCCCCCCCCCGCGAATTCTCATTGCTTTACGTCGAATAGTCGAATAGTCCAATCTCATTCACGTACACGACTTATGAGCTTACGCCTACGTTCCACTCTCCTTTGCCATGTAGGAATGGCTGAACGGCGAGCGTGAGATCGACCGCATCCTCATCTTGGCCCACACATGGAAACGCTCTTGGGCCTCGCCGTTTCTAAGCACGGGTATGCTGGAAAGAAGTACAGGGTGTCCCAAAAAGACCCCCAAAAAATTTGAGCCAGAGGGGACCTATGGAGCTAAAAATTTGCACAGAGGTAGCGAAGCCAATTTTCTATGAACAAGGAAAGTTTCAGCCCGATCGGCTTGCGGGTTTTAAAGTTATAGCGAAAATACTTTTCATTCTTAATTTAATATGGGGCTCTTTGAAATTTGCATCACAGATATGCGTTATATTTGCATTTACGAGCCGATTTTGCATAAATTTTGCGGAAAGATTCCATTTCGAAAAATTTCGAAAAATAACACGTGAATTGGATCGATAAAACAGTTGTTTTAACGCTCTTTTTATTCTTCATACGCAATCGTTTTCCAAAAGCTCCAGCTGTCGAAAGTTGCGAGCATTATGCTGCAACGTTCGATGGTTTGCTAAAACCTGTACGTTACCGTAGCGCGAGGCCCCCTCGGAGAGAGGGGGCCGGGCGGCTTTCGTGATTATTCCGAACAGACGATTTACGTTTTTCTCTAGGGTTTACGACCAGGTCTGTGCGGGTATTGCGTTAGCAGAAGACCAGCTACCTTTTGCCTTACGCCCAGCATCTTTTGCCTAAGACCAGCGAGTTAGACCAGCACTTTACCTTGCCCTTTCCATCCATCGATGAGTGTGCTCGTATTCTAATGGTTTACATGCCGATAAACTTTGTGTATACCTTTTGTATCCTTATACCGAAATGCATTGGATTCTATTACACGATTGTAGAAACTACCACTGAACATTACTGCTTGTATAGCCTCTTGGGATCCCTTGCCATCTCCCGGTCCGTGTTCTATCCGGATGCAGGGTTGTCCGAGCGGGGCCCAAGGGGCAAAGTCCAAGGTGATAGTGTGGCAACTCTAGCCTCCTCCGTGATCTTTATAGTAGAGGATTTGGCGCAGAGGGACTATTACTTTCGACACCAGCAAGGAAATGGCACTTTTCAGCGAAATTTATGCAAAATCGGCTCGTAAATGCAAGAATAACGCATATTTTTGATGCAAATTGCATAGATCCCCATATTAAAATAAAAATGAAATATATTTTCGCTATAACTTTAAAACCCGCTGACCGATCGGGCTGAAAGTTTCCTTTTTCATAGAAAATTGCCTTCGCTACCTCTGTGCAAATTTTTAGCTCCATAGGTCCCCGCTGGCTCAAATTTTGGGGGGGCGCCTTTTTTGGGACACCCTGTATTCGAATGCTACGGTCGCTATTTTAGGGTTGCCCTATCTTGTGGCAGATTTGGCTGACGGGTTGCCGGGTTGCTTCAAGATTTGCGCCAGGTACTTAGCAGTGACCCTGCTCACCGGAATTACGATTTGTTTTTGCAGCACGTGGCTGATCCGGCGCAACGAGACGGTAGTTAAGACAACCCGGACGCATTGAACCCACCATTCTAGAGCCGTGACGGGCTTGTGATCAGCGTGCAGCCCAGTCTTTTCGCGCTGTGCCGTTGTGACTATCGGGAGAGACGGTATGCACGCAAAGAAAAACGGGCTTAGCTTTACTGGTGCTTCCAGGTTATCGGGGGTCGGTTATTTTAGCGGGGGTCGGTTAGCATCCTCTTTTTGTTTAGCCTATACCTGCCTAGTGATAAATTGTAGTTTATTTTAATACTGTTTTTAGTAGCTTCCGATAATCAAAAATTATAAAAATATTTATCCTATAGTCACGAAATCTAGGGTTATAGCGCGGTTTTAGCCATTTTCATATGCGTTAGACCGAAAAAGAAAATTTTTTTCAACATGTTTTATGACGTTTTTCTTAATGTCTCCTCCCCCGATAACAGCCCAGAACCATTTCAAACGGCGCACCAGTCTATAAAAACGGCCAGTTTTTAATGAGCCGAGCCGCACGATATTATAGAAAAAAGTTCGCAACCGACCCCCGCTAAAATAACCGACCCCCGATAACCTGGAAGCACCGCTTTACTTTACCGCCCGTAGCCGAGGGTTTCAAAAATTTTTTGACATTTCCGCTATTATCTCAGGTTTTTGGCTAAGTCATTCGATAGAGCATCAAAAAGTCTACTAAACGTTTTTAATTACAGCCCAAAATAATGTAGAATCAAAAAAGAATGTCTTACCAAAGAACGCGTATGTCTAACATACCGGGATTGCACGCTAACGGGGTGGGGCCTTTGAAGCTCTGAATTAACGGGTTATGTAAGTTATTTGTAGGGAGCGGAGGTTTGGAGAAAGTCTGCTGCACTCCAAGGCCTACGCTACGCTCCTAGAAGCATACGAGGAAGTGTGGTGCTGTAGTAGATGCGACGAGGTCGGAGGTTTCGTTCTCCGTCGGTCTCTCTCTCTCCCTCCCTCTCTCTCTCTCTCCATCTCTCTCTCTCTCTCTCTCTCTCTCTCTCTTCCTTTCACACGCTCTCCCAATCCTGACGTTTCTCAACAGTGTCTTTCAGTATACTCTAAACGAGAGAATGCGATTGGAAAGGGAGGCGCGCAATTACCTCCACGAATATGGTGCTTTGCCGCGCCGCGTAGCCGTCTGCGATTTCGTAGGAACTCTCCCCGACAAGCAAAATCAGCCGTTCTTTAGACCATCTGCGCGTCGCTGTGCTTCGATTATGATTGGGTAAGGCTTTATGGAAATTGGCGGCATAGGGGAATTGCTGCAGTGTAGCGCCCGGCTACCCCTTACAACAACATTCTATAACCTAATCCCCGGCTTATTATGATTCTTTAGGAATGGTTCCGCACCCAGCAGCGCGTCTGGAGATTGCTCGAATCGTACAGGACCGGAGAAGCCCATCATTTCCTTGGCTGGGACGATTAAGGAGACGACGAGATAGATGACGATGACGAGGGACGAGATAGAGGGAACAATCCGGCTCTTTTTCCGCCCGCTTATTGGCCCCGTTTTCATGTACATTTGCTTTCCTGTGCCGTTTTTTATAGAGAATAAAGCATTACATGTGGTTCATCCGAGAAAGATACATGAAATTGATCGCTCTTGGGCTAAGACTAGGTCTCAGACTCGTCTCTCTCTCGCTCTCTCGCTGTCTCTCGCTCTCTCTCTTTTTCTCTCTCTCTCTCTCGCTGTCTCTCGCTCTCTCTCTCTCTCTCTCTCTCTCTCTCTCTCTCTCTCTCTCTCTCTTTCTCTCTTTCTGCCTCGCTCTCTCTCTCACTCCCTCTCTCCCTCCATCTCTCTCGCTCTCTCTCGCTGAGCGAATTGTGGTTCCGCGCGAAGAATGGCAACGATATACAGGGTGTCCCAAAAAAAACGACCCATCTGGCATTTCGCCGTGTTACATCCAATCGGTTGGACCAAAGGTGTATCAGACCCTAAATAACAACAATCCTGACTTATAGCCCGGTAGCTACAGTAGTTCTCGAGTTATAACAAAAACAAACTTTATTTTCTATTTTTCATAGGGTTTTCGTGGCATTAGACCCCCTAAACATTAAGCGAAAATGACTCGGTAGGCCTTCTTTACCTGAAGAAATTTTTTCCGGACCAGAATTAATCAAATAATCGTTGAATTAAGCGATTTTTACAACACAAAATTACCCAAGTTCTTAAGCGAAATTAGGGATTCGCAGCCGGAAGTCGATGCAAATCGACGCAAAGTCCAAAAAGATAGCCTATAAAACTGTTCAGAATTCCGGGAAAAACAGTATTTTGTTATAACTCGAGAACTACTGTAGCTACCGGGCTATGAGTGAGGACTGTTGTTATTTAGGGTCTGATACACCTCTGGTCCAAATATGGGACCAATTGGATGTAACCCGGCGAAATGCCAGATGGGCTGTTTTTTTGGGACACCCTGTATGATCTGTAAATTTATGTTTTTTTCCTAATTGAAACGGAAGTGAAAAAGTTGAAACCCGTCTATCAAATTTGTCGAATGATTACACATAGCCGATTTGAATGTGAAGTTGCATTGCAAGACATCCGGCATACCGAGCTTGGCACTAAAATTGTACACAAAGGCGGCAGCGGCCGCCTCGCATCGGCAATGCTCGGATTTTTTGCCCGATTATGCTCGACTCTGGTAGTCCTTTACGTCAAATTTTTGAAGCCACATTTTTGGCAGAGCCTAATAATAAACATTTAGTGCGGCTGGCGGGGCGGAGATCCGGGAACACAGGTTTTCTTGCTATCCAATTTGGGCTGTGGTTCAGTTTACCCCCCTCACCCCACACACCGCCACAGTCGGCGCTCACCTCCGTATCTCGGCTCCTGTTCATCTAAAGGTGTGCCAAGTATACCAAAATACTCGCCAGAGCAAGACGAACATTTTGGTATGCTTTACGGTCCTGTAGATGAACAGGGAGCCGTGATACAAAAGTTGGGTGCCGGCTGGGGGGTAAACTGAACTCCTCACCGGTTCCCGATAACCGCATCAATTCTTCTTCAGGATGACGTGAAATGCGCAACGACCCTCAAACCCTGCGCCAGCAATTCGATCGTTATCGAGCCTGAGACAGCGGCTGGGTCAGAAGCTCCGGCTACAAAACCCGCGAACGTACCCCGGGCCAGCTACCTATCCGTCGAGCAGCTGCTACGGCTTCCCGTCGAAGTTCAAATGCATATCGTTGCTTTTATGGGACCGACCGAGATGCTTGAAATGGCGTATGCTGCCCCGCTTTTCAAGGTGATTTTAGGGGGCGGCGTTTCGCTAGCGAAAAAGCTGTGATCTTGCCAAAAAGGTGCTAGAAATTTTTGTGTGAAAGCTCGAAAGCCAAAATACCGTTCAGGTTCAAAGTTTCTGTCAACATTTAAAATTCCCTGCCGCACCTCTGTTCAAAATTTCAAGTCGATCTGGTTTAAATGGCGAAATGCCAGGGCGACCTTCTTTATTTGAACACCCTGTACAGGGTGTCCCAATAAAAACACCGCCATCTAACTTGACGCAGAAGTATCGGACTGGAATGATATTTGCATTATTTATATTTATTTTTTTATATTTACACCATTCGAAAGCCCTTGAAACGGCGAGTTTGCAACATGCTTCAAAACCATGTTTTTATTTACACCTGCTGTTTTACAAGCCATTTTGCAAGATTTTCCAATTTTTCGGGGTTGCATACGAGCTAATTTGCCTCAAGTTCTCCATACAAAATGACCGGAAGTAGCCGTTAATTAGGTGCAGAAGCCGTTCCTTAATGTTTTTAAATACGTTGTAAAATGGTGCCATCAAATAAAAAATAGTTTTAAGATTGTTGCAAACCCGCCGTTGCAAGGGCTTTCGAATGGTGTAACTATCATTCCCATCCGATACTTCCTCGTCGAGTTAGAGGAAGAGGATGGAAGTCGAGATGAGTCTGGGGGGAAGGGGTAAACAAGACTTTAGCCTCATCCATTACAGGCCTTCATCACTGCCGTTCCCAAATGTTGGGAGTATTTGAACTTGATCGGTGGGATCGCAGAGAACGAGTATTGGTAGGCTAGCTAATTTTTCCTTAAATGGCCAATTAAGCGAGTTCGCGTTTGGGAAGCGGTTCCCCAGCAACGACTGGACATTGGCTGTTGCTTTTCCTCCGGAATCCCGGTAGGCCAGATAGCTGCTTATCATGGAAATACCAGGGTTGAAAAGTCGCGAAGCGGCTTTTCAACCCTGGCTCCCGTCTGACCCCGTTTTATCCTGCACTTTGCATAATTGTCCTAAATTCAGGTGGAAAAAAATGGAAAACAGCCTATCTTGTCCCTTTATATAGTCGAATCTTCACTTCCGGTCCATGCTAATTATTTCCTAACAAAGAAGGTTTCACAGTAACTGAAATATAATATCGAAAATGGCTAATTTGAAAGTTAGGATAGGTGTGCAGTCATCTCAAGACCATTACGCACCTAATGACGTATCATACGCTCCTTAGATTTCTACCCTTGTTGAGATAGACTGGAACAAAGTGGTACACACGCACACAGACACTATTTTTATATATAGTATGATAGGGCGACCCAAATAATGATACCTCTAACCGACCGAATTTGTGGCCGATCTTGACGATTTGGACATCTATCGAACGCTCTCCAACGAGCTGAGGAGATGTGTTATTTACGACCTTAGAAATCTCCGAATTTTTAGCTCAATTTTCGGGAAATTGGGGATTTTCAAAAATGGGCGTAAACACATCTAGGCAGTTCGATGAGAGCTTTCGATAGATAACTGAATCGTAAAAATTGGACATAATTGCGGACGTCTTTCTTTTGACCACTTGTTTGTGTGTTTGACCAAAAAGTCAACGTTTCTCAAACTTTCGTAATTTTATTTAAACCTTGTTGAATCAAAACCGTAAAAATAGTATCAATTTAAATTGAACCAGCGCTGACCCCCCGCTGCGCGGGGGTTCAGCGCTGGCCTTCTCCCACCCCTACAAATGGAATTTGTAATTTGAATGCAAAATTCGGCTGAATTCCCGGTCGGTCGGACGTACGGACATTAGAAATTTAGATATAGTAGATCCTACTATATATAAAAAAAATAGTGTTTGTGTGTGTGCCACTTTGCATTCAACTTCCGTCAGGGTGTGCGGAGGATATCTCGAGAGGGGATGGGTTTGATGAGGTGTTTGATACGTCATTAGATGCGTAATGGGCTGGAGATGACTGCACACATAGCCGATTTCGTAAAATATGTTGTTTTCTACATTAAAATTAAGTGTTTCTTAAAAATTCCGACACCCACTTTGTTAGGATAAAATTAGCATACGCCGGAAGTTACAGTAGCCTATATAAAGGCCCGAAGGGAGCGTTTTTCATTTTTGTCATCGGAATTGGGCCACAATTATGCAAAACGAAGATCATCATAGGGTTAGACGGGGCCAGGGTTGAAAAGTCGCGAAGCGGCTTTTCATCCCTGGTTAAGCTCTAAAAAATTTGGCTGGCAACAAAATTTGCTTGCTGACCAGCACAAATTCGTTTCAACAAATTTGTTTTTCAGCGGTTCAACCTGTGGGGTTTGGTTTTGGCGCCTGCGGCTCGATCGAGATCTGTGTGAACCGCAGCGGGCACAAGCAGTCACTCGCTTCACTGAATCCGTACACATTCTGGCGAACAACTCGCGCGTCGGTGTGGTAAGCGTGGTTGGCGCGATCACCGGCCGAACCTGGAAACCGGATCTCCGTGCAAACATCATCAACATTACCGACGTGCTGCAGTTCAGAGATAAATGGCCGAACGGATCAGGTCTGTAAAGCGTTTTGGTTCGTAGGCCGAATGCACAGAAATATACGGCGCCCGTGCCATGCGAGTCGATTGGGAATATGTGGTGTATGACGATGGGCTTTGGAAGAAATTTGTCGACGCGGTGCATGGATTGCCGGTGGGTTGCGGCGACGGCAAAACGTCAAAATCCCGACGGCCAAAAAGTCCAGGTTTTAAAACCATTTCTGGGCAAAACGATCGGAATATCATAAAACCAGATGGTTACAGTCGCTTCGCGACTGCAACCATCTGGCCTTCGGGCTACCCCACATATCCCACTCCACCACATCCTTTCCTACCTCCATCAATACCCCCCTAGCCGAAATCCCCTTCAAAAACTACCTAAATACCTTCCTGATGGCTTCAGATACCTCCCCTAGCCGAAATCCCCTTCAAAAACTACCTAAATACCTTCCTGATGGCTTCAGATACCTCCCATAGCCGAAATCCCCTTCAAAAACTACCTAAATACCTTCCTGATGGCTTCAGATACCTTCCCTAGCCGAAATCCCCTTCAAAAACTACCTAAATACCTTCCTGATGGCTTCAGATACCTCCCTAGCCGAAATCCCCTTCAAAAACTACCTAAATACCTTCCTGATGGCTTCAGATACCCCCCATAGCCGAAATTCCCTATCAAAAACTACTTAAATTCCATCCCGATACTTTAAAGGATTTAAATAATTAATTAACATAATTAAAAAGTATTAAAAAGTATTAAAGTAACTTAAAAAGCTATCTGGGCGCGCGAAGGGGCCTGGGGAAGAGGCGCGAAGGGAAAGGGGGCGTGGCCAGCCGGGAGAGGGGCCCCCACTCGTTTTATTAAGGCGCCACTTTCAAAGTTAATTTTAATAATTTAAGTTAAAACTTTTTCATAATTTTTTTATCAGTTTAGGGGTTTCTGACCATGCTCTATGCGAATCCGAAGAGAGCTAAGCTCTAGCTCCTTTCCCCTTCGAGTTGAATTCGGTACATGACGGACAGACAGACACCTCAAGAAAATTATCCTACCTTATATAATTTTGGGGTGTATCTCTGTGTGTGGGTGTGTGTGGATGTCACTTTCGAGGCTCGATTTGAGGGCCTTCCCGTGTCTAAAATGCCCTGATTTTCCGTCACTTGGGGTACTCGACCCTCCTCTTCCCGATGGCGTTTTCAGTATTCCGATAAAATACAAGTTTACAAAGTTAAAGCCGGTTTAATTCATTTTTGGGGGTTCTGGAGGGCTAATTTGCATAATGTGAAAAATTCAAATTTCCTCATTCTTGCCAGTTGCACTCGCGAGTTTGGTCGTCTCTTTGGATCTGCCTCTCGATGCCTTATATCATAAAATGGCGGTCGGGATTATGGCAGTCGGGGTTATGGCTGTCGGGATAATGGCTGGAATTCGCGGAAACACTATCGAGTCGATTTGCGACAGCGGCTGCGATGCCTTTTATTTTGCGCTAATTAATATCTAATGTAGTTTAGGCGTTTTTTCACTTTTTCAATGCTGGCAAGTTACAAAAAAATATGAAAAATTGTTAACAAGTGAAAAAGTGCTGCCAGTGTTGCATCGACAGGGTGTCCCAAAAAAAAGCACCCCCCCTCTAGCGGCGCGAAGTCGTTTCCGATTTCCACCGTTTAGGTATCTATCGAAGGCGAGAAAACAAGGCCGTTCATTTCGCCTAGTATGTATTATTATTCGCGAATCCTACTATCCTACTATATATAAAAAATAGTGTCTGTGTGTGTCTGTGTGCCACTTTGCATGCAATTTCCGTCAGCGTGTTCCAGCAGTATCTCAAGAAGGAGAGTAGTTAGAGGCATGTTTGATACGTCAATAGTTGCGTAATGGTCTGGAGATGACTGCACGCATATCAGATTTACCAAAATCGCCTATTTTCGACATTAAATTTTAATTTTTGTTGAAAAATCCGAGACCCTTCACCGGGGTTACGGGAATTTATTATTTTGTTCAAAAAGTTCGTAACACAGATTTTCGTTCTTTTAGCAGGTCAAGGCGCTGAGCGTTTGTCTACCAGACGTGATACACCAGCTTCCCGAATTACCCATGTTGAAAGTACAAACAATGAAGATCTTCTACGCACTGCCCCCGGGCAAGTTTTGTCAGCCCCCCGGTGTTACGCGGATGCCGTCAGAAGTTTCCCCGGCGGCGGAGAAACTTCTGCCGGCGTCCGCGCAACAGCCATCCTTCGTTAGCAAATCCTGTCTTAGAGTTTTTTTACCAGGACTGCGGTTCGGCGTCAAAGCGCCGATCCGGGGCCATTTATCATACATCAAATACCGAAACTTACAGCTGAGCGAGAGTCGTGCTACACTCCGCCCAGCACCGTGTATGAATCCCCATCGCTGGTCGTCATCTTTTTTCGTCAAATGATTACGGTAGCTTATTAGCTGCAAAACGTAGTCAAATTGTCATGTTTTCGCTTATAATACAATTCTCCTTTAGATCAATTTTATTAGCACACCAGGGTTGAAAGCACACTCTTCTTTTTCTAAAAAAATTCATATGGGTTTCCCCTTATGAACTCCCCCCGCCCACGCCCCTGATTGTCATGCATTGCGACGCCTACGTTCCACTTTTTCCACTCCTATGCCATGTAGGAATGGCTGAACGGCGAGCGTGAGATCGATCGCATCCTCATCTTGGCCCAGGCATGGAAACGCTCTTGGCCCTCGTCGTTTCGAAGCACGGGTATGCTGGAAAGAAGTTTTTGAATGCTACGGTCGCTATTTTAGGGTTGCCCTACCTTGTGGCAGATTTGGCTGACGGGTTGCCGGGTTGCTTCAAGATTTGCGCCAGGTACTTGGCAGTGGTGCCCTGCTCACCGAAATTACGATTTGTTTTTGCAGCACTTGGCTGATCCGGCGCAATGAGACGGTAAATACATCCCGGCCGCATAGAACTCACCATTCTAGAGCCGTGACGGGCTTGTGATCAGCGTGCAGACGAGTCTTTTCGCGCTGTGCCGTTGTGATTATCGGGAGAGACGGTACGGTACTGGACGGGACGGTACTTTACCCTCCGCAGCCGGAAGTTTCGAATTTTTTTTGATATTTCCGCTATCTTGTCAGGTTTTTGGCTAAGCCATTCGATAGAGCATTAAAAAATATACTAAACGTTTTGAATTACAGCCCAAAATAATGTAGAATCAAAAAGTTACCTGGGTGCGCAATATTTCACCCTGGCCCTCTGCGGAACCTTTGATACCCAGACACTTTGCATCTAATAATTTGAAAAATCTTACGATTTAAGTTAGAAAACTGAAAGCTACAGGAAATACGTGAGCAACCGACTTCGAGCCCGGCAAATCCCAGAATGAGCCGAATTATCACTCGTATGCAAATTAGGTTCTGTTCTATTTCGCCGGGGGGACTGTGCGGGCGGGAAAATATGCTTCGCGGAAACTACCATCTTTTCGCTATTTTCTGGGGATTTTGCAACGCCATTCGAAGAGCATCAAAAATATACCAAGAGTTTTGTTTAGCTAAAAATATTGTAATATAAAAGTTATAGCAAAAACAAAAAACCTATTGAAACTGGTGCCGGAAAGTTAGTTTTCGGCATTTTCGCTAGTTTTTCGATGTTTTGCACCCGTCATTCGATAGAGCATCAAAAAATATCCTAAGAGTTTTAATTTCATCTAAAAATATTGTTTTATTAAAAGCAAAAACAAGGTTTATGCGGTGTTTCCACATGGGATCGTGGAATCGAAGGCAGTTTTCGACATTTTCGATATCTTTCAAAAATTTCTTTAATGCTATTCGATAGAGCGTCAAAAAATACACTCAGAGTTTTATTTACAACTCAAAATAGCAAGAATGTATAAAAGAGTTGTAACAAAACGAAGAACATTTCCTCCGCACAGTTCCCCCCCCCCGAAATAGTAAAGTTCCTTAGTCTATTTCCATATGTTTTAAAAACGTTAAAATAAGGTATAAAACGCAATTTTAGCAAAAAGCTGATAAGCGTGTAGTAATCTACGCCCACAAATACCCCTGACCAGGGTTGGTCACACTGGCCCCTAATTGGATCCGGTCCGGTCCGAAATTTCCATCCGGACCGGATCCCTCGGTCCGCGACGGACCGAGGGATTTTGATTGCTTTGCCCAAGGCCCGCCAAGCGGGTTTTGGGCGATGGTTGCCGAATAAAAACAAATAATAAAGAAAATCAACCCTCCTTGTTTTCTCGCCTTTTCGCGAGCATTCGATAGATACCTAAATCGTAAAAATCGGACTCGACTGCGGACCGCTAGGTAGGGGGGGTTTTTTGGGGACACCCTGTAGTAGGATGACAATAAACTTTTGGGAACTTCCTGCTAGTTAAACTGGGGGGGTAAAGGAAAGTCTTACCAAAGAACGCGTATGTCTAACATACCGCTTTACGGATTGCACGCTAACGGGGTGGGGCCTCTGAAGCCCTCAGTCTTCTGAGAATTTCTTTGTAGGGAGCGCAGTTTTGAAGAAAGTCTGCTGCACTCCAAGGCCTACGCTATCCTGCTAGAAGCACACGAGAACCTGTGGGGGAAAGGCTATGGTAGATGCGACGAGGTCGGAGGTTTTGTTCTCCGTCGCTCTCTCTCTCTCTCTCTCTCTCTCTCTCTCTCTCTCTCTCTCTCTCTTTCACGCACTCTCCCAATCCTGACGTTTCTCAAAAGTGTTTTTCAGTATACTCTAAACAAGAGAATGCGATTGGAAAGGGAGGCGCGCAATTACCTCCACGAATATGGTGCTTTGCCGCGCCGCGTAGCCGTCTGCGATTTCGTAGGAACTCTGCCCCACAAGCAAAATCAACCGTTCTTTAGACCATCTGCGCGTCGCTGTGCTTCGACTATGATTGGGTAAGGCTTTACGGAAATTGGCGGCATACGGGAATTGCTGCAGTGTAGCGCCCGGCTACCCCTTACAACAACATTCTATAACCTAATCCCCGGCTTATTGTGATTCTTTAGGACTGGTTTCGCACCCAGCGGCGCGTCTGGAGATTGCTCGAATCGTACAGGACCGGAGAAGCCCATAATTTCTTTGGCTGGGACGATTAAGGAGACGACGAGATAGATGACGATGACGAGGGACGAGATAGAGGGGAACAATCCGGCTCTTTTTCCGCCCGCTTATTGGCCCCGTTTTCATGTAAATTTGCTTTCCTGTGCCGTTTTTTATAGAGAATAAAGCATTACATGTGGTTCATCCGAGAAAGATACTTGGGCTATCATTAGATCTCACAAGGGAACCACCTAAGGTCGAGGTGGCGTTTCGTTATGGGACCCAGGCCATTTTGTGCAGAATTTTTTGCTGATTCCGAATCCGTTTTCAATTTTTGCCAAATAGCCCGATTTAAAAAGTTACAGCGATTTTAAGATCATATTTGAGCCCGCGGGCGGTCATCTGTGACGATGCCCAACATTTTTGTTTTAATATGCCAATCCATTTTAAATAGCCTATCCTGTAGAGAATTTTTTTTCTGATTCGAATGGTATATTTCATTACTGCGCTACTGCCTATCGATAATCACTTATGGGAGTGTGAAATAGCCTGTTTTTCACCATGTCCCATACAAAAAACGAAGTCCATACCAAGTATCGTCGATTTTTTCGATTTCCAACAATTTTGAGTTAAATAGCTCATTCGATAGAGAAAAACTTTCTGAATATGATGGTGATATTCGTTTTTGATGAATCATCCGGGAAGTGCAACATAAATGGCTTTGAAGTTGACAAATTTCGGAAAAAATGTAACTTTGAAGCGCTATAACTTTTTAAAACGAGCTATTTGGCAAAAATGAGCAGCGGATTCGGAATCAGCAAAAAATTCTGCACAAAATGGGCTGGGTCCCATAACGAAACGCCACCTCGACCTCGGGTGGTTCCCTTGTCAGTCTCTCTCTCGCTCTCTCTCGCGCTCTCTCTCTCTCGCTCTCTCTCTTTCTCTCTCTCACTCTGTCTCTCTGCTCCCTCTGTCCCTCCATCTCTCTGGCTCTCTCGCTCTCTCTGTCGCTCGCGCTCTCTCTCGCTCTCTCGTTCTCTCTCTCTCTCTGCTCTCTCTCTCTCTCTTTCTCTCCAGCTAATCGTCTTTTGCATCAGAATGAATTTTCCGAGTCCAAAAGATCACCAGCCACTTTCAGTGCTCCCTGGAAAGACCGAAAATGACGGGCGAATGACAAATTCTGGCCTCCCACCTCTATAAAGATAAGGGACCATTAAAAATCAGGTGCATATAGCGCGTGCAGACAAAATTGTCTGGGTCTCACTCCAGAACGCTATGCTACGAATTATTTCCTTCTTGGCTCTATTCCGGGCTGGTCTGGCGGCTTATTATGTTGTTGCGCCGGCTGGTACGTTTCTGAAAGCTGGACAGAATTGAAATATGACGATGTAAAACTGCAAAAATATAGTTAAAGACGCGAGAATCGACCCCTGCCCTTGACTAGCTCTCGACAGCTACACTACCGTCCAAAAGATATTTAGCCACATTTCGCAAGACGCTTTAGCGACGCAGCCAAACGCCCCGCATTACGCGTGAGTTGGAGCCTCGCGTAGCTGTCGAAATCTAGTCGACAGTTTCGTCGATTTTCGCGATTGTCGGTAATTTTATTACGGCGTTTTTCGCGTTGCCTGTGCGTGTCGCGCTGCGTGCCGCGTTACGTCTCGCGTTGAGGTTAGCATTGAATATAGCGTTGCATATAGCTTTGCGTAGTGCGTCGCGAGTGGCGTTAAGTGTCGCGTTGCGTTACGCCCTGCATGTAGCTTTGCGTGCCTTGTTTCGTATCGCGTTGCGCATCGCGGTGCGAATCGCGTTGCGTGTGGGGCGGTATGACCGGATTGCTATTTGCGTTGTTTGTTGCGTTGCGTATAGTGTAGCAGATAGCGTTGGGTATCGCGTTGCGTATCACGTAATCTATTGCGCTGCGTGTCGCGTTGCGTGTGCCGATTCCACTTTCTAATCACCTTAATTTAGGAAATTTCTCCACCACCGAAGCCTACTGCCAATCGATGGGGCTGCACCTGGTCTCCATCCACAATGTTCTTGACAACACGGCCGTACAAGTTTTTGCAGAATGTAAATTTTGGAATTAGAATCCAATCTACTACTAATTACAGCCAAATACATCCCAAATTTCTGGATCGGAATGAGCGGAACGTCTGGAAAATACTTCAGCTGGACCGACGGGAGCGCTTTGGATTATTTCAATTGGGCTCCGGGTCGGTGCAGACGGATTAGCTTTAATATTTTCGAGATTTCGTGATGTCGATAATCCATAATGTCGAAATTTGATCACGTCCAGACTTCATAAAGTCGAAAATTCACAGTTTCCAAATTTTAGACTGTAGAAATTTCATAATGCCGACAGTTTATAATCTCGAGATTTTAGAATGTCGAAAATTCAAGATTCGCGTCCTGTTCTGTTAGCGGGGGAAGGGGTTTTGGCGGGGAAACTATTTTTTTGTGATCCTACACAAAATATAAAACATTTTCGTAACATTTTAGTAAATTTTTGCATTTAAAATCCACATAAAATATAGTTTCGACAATTTTTGGCTTTTGGTCAAAGTCTATAAAAAAAAAGAACCAAATAATAACCAAATTTTCAGAATTTCAACGATTTAGAGTTTTTTGGCGATCAGAAACTTAATGGCCTTTTTAGGGGGTTGTTTAAGAAATTTCGGCATCAGAATACCTGGCTCTTTTAGGCCAAAACTCTATTTATCTTAGGCTTCCCGACATACGACCCTTGCGTGGTGGAGGGATCTGACGGTTTTGTGGAAAACAACAAATTGCGGTGCCACCTATTTTGGGATCTGCTTGAAGGCCCAGCCAAAGTGTGATTTTGGGTGGACACAATTGGCCGAGACCAGCCAGTGCTATTTGGTAGGTTCAATGTGCTTTTCGGCTTTCCCTACCGGATTTGCGTGAACGCACGCTGGGTATCGCCCTGCGTATCGCGCTGCGTATATTGTTGCGTATCACGCTACGTTTTTCTCGTTCTCTCTCTCCCCCTCTCTCCCTCTCTCTCTCTCTCTCTCTCTCTCTCTCTCTCTCTCTCTCTCTTTTTCTCTATCTCCCTCTCTCCCTCTCCCTACCCCTCTCTCTCTTTCTCTCTCTCTCACTCTCCCTCTCCGTCTCTCTCTCTATCACTCTCTTTCACTCTCTCTCACTCTCTCTCTCTCACTTTCTAATTCTCTCATTTCAGCCAGGCCAAGCCGCCACGCATGACGACGCCCTCGCCGCGTGCCGGAAGATGTACGCCAGGCTGACGTCGATCCACACCAAGTCGGAGAATGACTTCATTATGGGTATCCTAAAGATTTCGGTCTGATTTTTTCAATTTTTAGCTCTAGCCCCGCCGTCCCCCGTCCAGCAGCAGTGCAATCCGGAGGCGCCGTACGGAATTTGGACTGGAGGTTCGTTAAAGGGACCGGCAAGGCAGGACTATGGATTTTGTCTAAAGATGAAACTAATGAGAGGCTTGAGAAAAAAAAATCATTATTTTTAGGTATGGCGATGAACGGGTACGATTCGTGGGCCGACGGGACCGCATTTTCTTATCCGAATCTTTATGGAAATGGAGATCCGTCGAGCGGTGCGATTTACGTAAGTTGTGATCTAAAGAAAATTATTTGCTATCGGAATGTCGAAAATCATAAGGTTGAATTTCATAACGCCGAATTTCCTAGTGTCGAAATTTCAATATCTCGACATTTTGCGTAGGATCTGGGTTTCTTTCGAAAGATTTGCTTATCTAAAATTCGACATTCTTTGGCATCGACATTATCAATTTTGAAAGTATTCGTTTCGGCATTTTGAAAGCAACCTAAAAACGCCAGTTTTTAGCTAGCAGCCGAGCCAGGATGCCCGGATTTCGGGAAATGGCGAGTAACCCCCTCGAAGACGCTGACTTTGAGCTATGTTTGCAAGAAAAACCCAATGTGAACATGTATTCAAGTGGAATAAATGATGAATTTGCTCATACTCTGCAAAGGTAATTTAAGTTAATGGTTATATAAATGACAGGGTTTTGAAGTATGGCATTTAATTCTAGAGTTTATTTTATTGGTTTTGATAAAACAAACAATTAGGTCAGCGTATAGCCGGAGGGCACGTTTTATCAGGAAGGAGTGTCCAACCGCACTCCCGATCGCTTGTTGTGCGCTCTCCCACTGTTCGCTTCCCCATCCCGACTCGCCCCCACCTGGACCACCTCTCCGCCTCAAATAGGCACACCTTGCTTCAAGAGTATCGCTTCTGGCCTCTGGCTTAGATCAATTTGTAGTTACTGTTCTTATCGGCTTAATCTCCGATACGTACACTATTGTGTACAACGAGATTAACATATTTTTGGAAATGGTTCGGTTAGCAGAAGCTTGCTTCTCGCCAAACAGCGTCGTCCCGGCATTGCACATGCCGTCGGGATCGGCGCACACCCCACAACGGGTGAACAATCTCAATATACCAAATAGAAAGATTCAGTATCGTAGAAATCGTGACTGTGAAATTAATAGCATTATACTTATTGGTAGACAATGTGAAAGAGCGATGGCCCCGTGGTCGTGCTGTACAGGGTGTCCCAAAACCCCCCCCCTCGGCATTTGGCCGTCTTCCATCCAATCGGGACCAAATTTTTACCAGTGATGGGGACCCATAAAAACTATGTGCAGCCAAATTTTCTAAGCAAAATATTGTAAAACAAAGAAGATATATCAAAATTAAGGTTAATTTTGCCGATTTCAATAGGATTTTGACGGATTTCGGCCTCGAAATGTTTAGCAAAAAGGAAGAGGGCGCTCTTTCTACCTCCCAAGCGATCGATGTGTGGGCGTTCTGTGCCGTATCATAAAAAAAATGGCAGAAACACCCACAGCCCCACAATGACAAGGTCGGGAAGGATGGATGAGTGTTAAAATGAGATAAGCCCCGATAAGCCATCCAGGGGTCTGTATAAATTTATGAGTCGGCTACTGGTCTGGGGTGTCGCTTTTCCTGTGAATTAATGGGTTATGGGATGCTGCCGATTTTGCTAGTTTCGCTATATGTTGTCGCGGTCTCAGCGAAATACCTCCCCGTGCCGTTGAGTAAGTTAATAAATAGAACACCAGAGTTGAAAAGCCGCTTCGCGACTTTTCAACCCTGGCCCCGTCTGACTTCCATTTTATCCTTCACTTTGCATAATTGGCCTGTTTTCGGACGACAAAAAAATGAAAAACAACCTCTCCTATCCCGTTATATAGTCGAATCCCAACTTCCGGTCTATGCTAATTTGTTCTAACAAAGAACTTTTCACAAAAACTTAAATTTAATGTCGAAAATAGGTAATTTTGTTGGAATCTAAAATGCGTGCAGTCATCTCCAGGCCATCACGCACCTAATGACGTATGAAACATACTTTAAAATTCATCCCCTATCGAGATATCCTCCGGACAGACGGACGGAAGTGGATGCAAAGTGGCACACACACACGCACAGACACTATTTTTTTATATATAGTAGGATTCTTCGAAGAGTCGCTGCTAGTTTGCCTCAAACGGTAATTCCACCAAGAGTCTTTGCTAGCAGTCCATCTACCAATTCCTCAAATACTCTGTGCTAGCATGCCTACCCCGTAATTCTTGCAGGAACTTTGGCGAGCCTTGGATTTTCAAAAGCGCCTCAGCTAGCCTGCCTCCTGCCCGTATTTCTAAGGGATCTCTGCTAGTATGCCTGATATTCGGAAACCCCAAATAATCTCTGCCAGCCTGCCCTACGCTTGGATTTCCCAAAGAATAGCTGCCCACCTGTCTTACTAGGGAGGTCCAAAATACCCGCAACACCGATCTGGCTGAAAATTTGTACACTTATAGAATCGACCACGCTGATATTCGCCTCGTTTTCCGAATTTTACAGAACCTCAAAAATTTGAGATATTAAAGTCTTAGTGTCATTTTTGGGTCCCCGGGAAGGGGTTTGTCAGGATATCGAACTTTTTTTTTGTATTTTTCTAGTTATTTTACGTAGCGTATCGGATAGAGAATTTTTTCTGATTCGAATCGTATATTTCCTTAAATCACCGAGGACCTGGACGCTCTCCCACAGCTGCTTGCAGTAGGCTGTTTTCTACCATTTCACATAGTAAATTCGCAGTCCATACCAAGTATCGTCGGTTTTTCCAATTTTTCGGGTTTTCGAAAATCTTGAGTTTGAGGGCTCATTCGAAACAGAAAATTTTTCTGAATCCGATGGCGATGCTTGTTTTTCGGAAATCTGCCAAAAAGGTAAAAATAATCGAGTCCGAAGTTCGGCAATTTTAACTGAAGAATCGACTTAAAACTTTAATATCTCAAATTTTAAGGCTCTGTAGCAAATTCGGAAAACGAGGCGATTATCAGCGTGGTCGATTCTATAAGTGTACAAATTTTCGGCCCGATCGGTGTTGCGGGTATTTTTGGACCTCCCTAGTTAGGACCGGATTTCCAGAAGAATCTCCGCTAGCAGCCCGTCCGCGTTTTCCTAAAATAGTGACTGTTAGCATGCCCGCACAATCATTCCTCAACAAATGTCTGCTAGCCTGCCCTTTTCTCAGATTTCCAAAAGCATCTCTGCTAGCTTTGCTGAGATTTCACAAGTGATCCCTGCTAGTGATGCCGCTAAAATTATTGAAAGAACCGCTGCTAGCACGCCCGATGCTTGGATTCCACACGTGATCGCTGCTAGAGTGCTTTATGCTCCGGTTTCCTCAAGGTAATCCGGCTAGCATGCCCGAGGCTTCGATTCCGCAAAGGATTGCTGCTAGCCTGCCTTATGCTTGGCTATCCCAAAGAGTCGCTGCTAGCATTCCCCACTTAAATTCAAGGGTTTGAAAGCAATCCAGATCCCGCCTCCAAATGCAAATTGCGACCTTTCAGACAATTTCTACGGTGCCGAGGTTTACTGTCAATCGTATGGGGCGCATTTGGTGTCGATTCACAACCTTTTCGACAATAATCAATTGGAGGCTTTCATGAATCAACAGGGGTATCCGGATGCTTTTACCGGATTGAGAAGGGGAGCGGATGGAAGATGGACATATACCGATGGGACACCATCTATTTACGTCAACTGGGCTGCTTGTGGGTTTCAGAATTTGTAGTATGAAAACGATAGATTTTTCTTAATTTGCAAATGTCGAAATTCTTAATGTTGAGATGTCAAAATGTCGACATTTCATAAGGTCGAATTTTCAGAATTTCGAATTTCCGATTTTCGAAATTTCTGAACGTCACAATTCCAGAAGGCCTAATCTTCAGAATGGAAAGCTTATACAATTTGCAGTAAATTTCCAATAATATTTATGTAAATTTAATGTTCTAATTTAGTCCAACCTTCATCCGACAACTGCACGACAATTGGCATCGGTGGATTATGGTATTCAGTGCCATGTGAACAAATCCAAACGGCCATCTGCTATATTCCAGATGCGCCTACCGTAGGCCCACCGACCTTGGCGCCCACAAGTAAGTCCAGAGTACTTAAAAAATAACTAGGTCAGAGTATAGCCGGAGGGCGCGTTTTAGCAGATACAGGGATCAGACCCCCTCCGACCCCCATCTGTGCGCACTCTGAGTGTCCCCTTTCGTGTCCCCACTCGCCCCTCACCTGGACCACCTCCCCCCCGGAAATACACACTCCTCCCTCATCTACATCGCTTCTGCCCCTGGCTTAGATCAATTTGTTGTTTATGTTCTTATCGGCTTAATCTCCGATACGTACACTATTGTGTACAACGAGATTAACATATTTTTGGAAATGGTTCGGTTAGCAGAAGCTTGCTTCTCGCCAAACAGCGTCGTCCCGACATTGCACATGCCGTCGGGATCTGGCACACCTCCAAATGGGGTGAACAATATGAAGCCATAAAAAAATCAATGCATACATAGCGCCCAAAAGGCATAATAGCGCGCGGACGGCCTTGATAGAGACCAGCCTAACAACCCAGATTGGCACCCAAAAATTTTTCACTAATATGAAAAATAAAAATTTAAAAATATAAAAAAATTTTAAAATAATAATAAAATTTTTAAAATTAACTAATCCTCTTTTTCTTCCCGATTTGGGGGGGGGCTCCCCCCTCCCCCAATTTTACGGGCCCATAGAGACGACGAAAAACGAATTAACCGCAGATTCTAGGCTACAGAATACTTGCACAAAATTAACGTACGCTTCTAATAGGCTATAAGGGATCGATAACTGCCTATGAGAATCGGACAGGTTATATCCGGAAATGTTTAAGCAACCGCCCGTGAATAATTATTAAAGCAGCGTGCCACAGCGCGCAGCGTGCGTCAAATCCCGGAGCAGAAGGATTCCGGGGTCAGGCGGATGATTCACGGGATGCAAAAATACACAATATAGGTTAGATCAATTTATACTACTAGCGACGCTCCTTTGGTGTGTGTAAGGTGTAGCCTCTATCTAGGCAGATTTGTCGCGCTTTGTTTTCGATCGTGTTGGATTTTTTTAGATTGCATTGAGATTGTTCACCCGATTGTGGGGCGTGCGCCTTTCCCGACGGCATGTGCAATGCCGGGACGACGCTGTTTGGCGAGAAGCAAGCTTCTGCTAACCGAACCATTTCCAAAAATATGTTAATCTCGTTGTCTACAATAGTGTACGTATCGGAGATTAAGCCGATAAGAACAGTTACTAAAAATTGATCATAGCCAGGGGGCCAGAAGCGATGTTGATGAGGGAGGGGGGTGTATTTCCGGTGGGGAAGTGGCCAGGGGGGTGGCGGGTGTGGGGGGGAAGGGAACAGTGGGAGAGCGCGCAACCAATTAGTGGGGAGGGGGGTCTAAACCCGGGGATCTTTCACGGACCTGGAATTATATATTTTATGATTCTGTATATTTCGATTTTTAGAACTTCAAAGCTTGCAAATAGATTAATCCCGTGTTTTCAGTGGGCCCAATTTCCTATCAATGCCCGACCGGCTGGAGCTACTTTACGACTAGTGGAGCGTGTTATTGGGTGTGTTTTGGACGGGTTACGGTATGAAAAGCTTCTTTTAGGTTGGATCCAGCAATACCTTGGATGCGGCTAGGACTACCTGTAAGCAGGTCGGCTCGGACTTGGTGTCCATTCATAGCAGCGAGGAGAATGGATTCGTTTTGGGTATGTCTCTCTCTCTCTATCTCTCTCGCCCCTCTCTCTCTCTCTTCTCTCTCTCTCACTCACTCTCTCCCTCTCTCCCTCTCCTCTCTCTCTCTCTTTCTCTCTCTCTCTCTCTCTCTCTCTCTCTCTCTCTCTCTCTCTCTCTAACGAAACCTTTCAGGCCTCGCCTTCCGCTACACTCAAAACTGCACGAAGGGCAGCCCCTGGTGGTACTCGGTCTGGACTGGAGGTATGGTAGTTCTAAAACAACTTTGATTTTCGGTTTGAAATCAAAGCTGTTTTTAGGAGTAGCCTCAAATGGATACAACTACTGGTCTGATGGGACCCCGTTCACCTATTCGAATTTCTACGGTCATGGCGATCCAACGAGTGGAGCGATTTATGTGAGTTAGAGAGAGAGAAAGAGAGAGAGAGAGAGAGAGAGAGAGAAGGAGAGAGAAAGGGAGAGCGACAGTTCAATTTTCAGCTAATCACCCAAAGCGGCTGCACCGATTTTTCGCAATGGCGCATCACCCCTTCGCAGACGGTGTCGCTGACCAACTTCGTCTGCAAAAGTGGCCCTCCTATCGGCTGGATTAGCTTCAAAGCTAGAAACGGAATAAATGTGAGCATCAGATTATCTCCTGCATTCCGACAACCGGTATGCCGCTTGCAATGAAGCTATAAGCTATAGAGTATACCCCTAGGGGCAAATTTTAGCAGATCACCTGGGTAAGACCCCCTCCCTACCCCCCGGAGTTGTGCGCTCTCCCAATGTCCCCTTCCCCGTCCCACTCGCCCCCACCTGGCCCACCTCCCCACCGGAAATACACCCCCTCCCCCCCGGGGCCCCCCCCCCCCGAAGCAATACAAAAAACCAACAAACCCCCCCCCAGAGGGCGTCCCCGGCCCCTGCCCGCGTCCCGCCCTCCCCCCCGCCCTCATCTACAACTCTCGTCTTTCCATTCCCTCCCTATTAACCCTTCCGGGTCTTTCCCCCCCGGGCCCCCCTCCCCCTTTCCTCCCCCCCCCCCCCCCTTTTCATTTTCCCCCCCCCACTTCCCCGCCACGCCCCCTCCTTCCCCTTCCCTTCCGGCCCTCGGGCCGGCTGTACTGATAAATTGTACCTACCCTAAGAAAAAATATGTTCTTATCGGCTTAATCTCCGATACGTACACTATTGTGTACAACGAGATTAACATATTTTTGGAAATGGTTCGGTTAGCAGAAGCTTGCTTCTCGCGAAACAGCGTCGTCCCGGCATGGCACATGCCGTCGGGATCGGCGCACACCCCGAGAGGGGTGAACAATCTGAAATACAAAATACAAGCAAAACCCTGATTATAGAACTCGTTATAGTAAAATCCACGTTGCCTAGTAGTATGCAAAGTGAAAAATCACAATCGTGTCAGAAAATCGCCAAATATCATACAACAGAGAATTGGGAGCGGCTTAAAATGTGCTAGAAACATAGTTGATCATGTGGACCTCGTCTGCACACATTTAATTTTCTACGTATTCGACATACGTATGGCCTTCCGCTTCTCGTCTTTTGAGCCCGTTATCGGGACCCAAAATACAACAGCTCTCTCTCTCTCTCTCCCTCTCATTCGCTCTCTCTCTCTCTCTCTCTCTCTCATTTCCCGTTCTCTCTCCTTCTCTCTCGCTCTCGCTCTCTTTTTCTCTTTACCTCTCCCTCTATCTCTATCTCTCTCTATCTATCTCTCTCTCTCTCTCTCTCTCTCTCTCTCTCTCTCTCTCTCTGCAGCTTCTTCCGGGGCCATTTCGAGTAGGTGGTGGTGGGCAACGTGACGAACTCCGCTGGGCTCCTAATGACAAATCCAAGCAGCCGGAGATAATGGTGATAACGGGAGCATTATAAGTTTACGACTCGGGGCCACAGGTTGCCCATTTCCAGCGTTTTTGCCTTTCCAAACGACGTATTTATGGGGATGCTCTCGCTTCTGGTGGCTTCGCTCCTTGTAGCTGGGGCTTCGGCGAGTTATCTGCCGGTGCCGTTGAGTAAGTTAAGGAAAAAAATCATAGTTTTCTCAAAGGATCTCTGCTGGTCTGCCCCTGAAAAGCCGGAAATCATTTTCTTACTAGCTTAGCTCTGAATTTCATAAAATGCGCCCTGCCGATCCTCTCTGATAATAGAGAAAATCCTATGTAGCTTTTCCGGTAGGATTCCTCAAGGAACTCTGCTAATTTGCCTCCAGGATTGCCAAAGAATCATTGTTAGCTTGCCTGTTAGATTCCCGCAAAATTCTTGGGGGCCCATTCTGCCTCCATGATTCCTCCAGAATCTCTGTTAGCCTCTTCCGAAATTCTTAAAGAACCCTGCAAGTTGAAATTTCTGAAATGTCTCCTGACTTGGCATTCCAATTCCTCAAATATCTCTGCTAGCCTGCCTTTAAAATTACCCAAATAATCTTTGCTAACTTGTTAATCCAAAGCCTATTTGCTAATCTAGCCTACCGGATTTTTCAGACGATCTCTGCTAGCCTGCCCCTCAATTTCTCAAAGAACCTCTGATAGTCTGCCCCGCTGATTCATGAAACGAGCTCTACTAGCTTGCTTTACAATTTTCCCTAAAGGACCTTGCAAGCCGCGAAGGGATCTGCCAACGTTATTTCGTTTCCATAAAAAATCCCTGCCAGCCTGCTCTCAAATTCCCAAACAATCTTTACTAGTCAACCTGTTAATTCCTCCAAGAATCTCTGCTATCTTACCTCTGCAATTCCAACGAATACACAATAGAACTAGCGGCCTCTGAAAGGATCTTTGCTAGCCTGCTCGGTGCCGCTTGGCGGGTTTGGCGCAGTTGGTAGAGCGTCTGGGTGACATTGGCAGGGTCCCGATTCGATGCTCGAGCTGGCGGTTTTTGCGAAAAGAAAGGTCTAAAAAGCGTACCTCTTTCTACCCGTAAACCACCATTCTTAACCCCAATTTTTAGATACCTTCGCCGCTGCCGAGCGATATTGCCAATCCTATGGAGGGCATTTGGCCTCTATCCACAGTGGATTTGACAACCAGGGCGTTACTTCCTTCGTGAATCAACAGGGATATCCGGCGGCTTTTATTGGGTTGCAGCGACAGCCAAGTGGACAGTGGACATATACCGATGGGTCCACCAATAATTATGTTAATTGGGCTCTAAGTAAGTCTGACTAATATCTTTCGCATTCTCATCTCGTTTCTCTCACTCGCTCTCTCTCTCTCTCTCTCTCTGTCTGTCTCTCTCTCTCTCTCGCTCGCTCGCTCTCTCTCTCTCTCTCTCTCTCTCTCTCTGTCTGTCTCTCTCTCTGTCTCTCTCTCTCTCGCTTTCTCACGATCTTTTCTCTCTCTCTCGCTCTCTCTTCCTCCCTGCCTCTCTCTCGCTTTCCCTCGCTCACAATAGCCCTATTTTCCAGACAATCCTACTAACGAAAACTGTGTCACGGTCGGCACTGACGGCTTCTGGTATTCGGTCGGCTGTGATGATATTGAGACCGCTGTTTGCTACATCGCGGATATTCCCACCATTCCTACCCTGCCTACGACGGTGCCAATAAGTAAGGCAGTTAAAAGATACTAAAAATTGAATTCAGCTTTTCATTCAGCTAGTAGTTTCTGTTGTCAAACGTAGTTTTAAGGCCTGCATTAATGGTAATTAAATACAAAACAGATAACTGGGCCAGACTATGCCCGAAGGGCAAATTTTAGCAGATCGCGGATCAGACCCCCTTCCCCCATCCCCGAGTTGTGCGCTCTCCCAATGTCCCCTTCCCCATCGCGACTCGCCCCCCCCACCTGGCCCACTTCCCCACCGGAAATACACACTACTCACCACAGCTACATCGCTTCTGGCCCCTGGCTTAGATCAATTTGTAGTTTATGTTCTTATCGGCTTAATCTCCGATACGTACACTATTGTGTACAACGAGATTAACATATTTTTGGAAATGGTTCGGTTAGCAGAAGCTTGCTTCTCGCCAAACAGCGTCGTCCCGGCATTGCACATGACCTTCATGCCGTGCTCAAGACCGTGTCCGAAGTCTCTACATGGCTCGGTCTCGTGTTCAACAGCAAAAAGTGTGCCAGCCTCGTCATCAACTCCAACAAGCACACCACCATGCCGATCGAGTACAAGGTTCAAGGATCCAGGATGGTGACGCTCGACTCCAACGACCACTACGAACATCTCGGCGTGCCCACCGGCTACTACCAAGGCTCTTCTGCAGACAAGACCATCACGAAGATGCACCAGTGCCTCGACAAAATCCACTCTTCTCTACTCGCCCCTTGGCAGAAAGCGGACGCCGTCAACACCTTCATCCTGCCTTGCATCGCCTTCCATCTGAAGAATGGCCACGTCGAGAAGAAGAAGCACCTCATCCCGTTCGACAAGAAGTTGAAGAAGTTCGCCAAGTCGTGGATGAGCCTCCCGAGTCAAGCTAGCCCCGAAGTCGTCTACCTGCCGCACAACATGGGAGGCCTCGGCCTCATCCAGACGAAGACCCTCGCCGATGTGATGCAGCTGGTGCATGCTGTCCAATTGTTGGAGTCGACTGATCTCGGCCCAATGACTGCTCAGCTGCTCCGTACGGCTGTACAGAAGAAGATCAAGCGTGCTCCAACCGACTCCGAAGTGGTCGACTACCTGAACCAGAAGCTTGACGGCGCCTTCGAGACATACTACGCCGACACCCGCAACATGTGGACAAGAGTGCGACAAGCGACCGGCCACCTCGTCAAGACCGACAAGCGCGATGTGAAGTGGACGTGGGCCAACGACAAGATCCAACTGCTCGTGCTCGGATGTGGTGTCACCAAGAAGACGTGTGAAAGGATGCTCAAGCGCGCCGTCCATCAAGCTCAGCTCGTTCACCTCACCGCCAAGAAGAGCCAGGGCAAGGTCTACAACATCACCGCCCACCAGCCCGTCTCCAACTACTTCCTGCGTGACGGACGCTATATCCGCTTTGCGGACTGGCGCTTCGTTCACCGTGCAAGACTCGACGTCGTTCCACTAAATGGCTGCAACCGTGCCCGTGATCAAAAAGACAAGCGCTGCCGAAGATGTGGCTACCAACTCGAGAGTGTCGCCCACGTCCTGTGTCATTGCCCTGCTCACGCCCACGCCATCACCCTGCGCCACAACGCCGTCCTCGACCGCCTCGTCAACGCCATCAAGCTGCCCGCGACCACCACGAAATATGTCAATGTCAAGATCCCCGGCACTGATGGTCAACTACGTCCCGATCTCGCCCTCGTCGACCATGTGAAGAAGCGTGTGACGATCGTGGACGTGACCATGCCGTTCGAGAACCACGACCTGAGCGTCTTCGCTGCCGCACGTGCCGAGAAGCTCCGCAAGTACGCCGACATCTTCAACAAGTTCAACGCGGATGGCTACGACACGTTCCTGGACGCCTTCATCGTCGGGCCACTCGGCGGATGGGACCAAGAGAACGACAACGTGCTGCGCCGACTCGCCGTCTCCGTCAAGTACGCCGCGCTGATGAAGAAGTTGATGGTCGCCGATGCGCTGAAGTGGTCAAGAGATGCCTACGTCGAGCACATCACCGCCCACCGCCAATACCAAGCATAAATGAAGCGATATCCATTTGCTAGTTATCTTTTAAAATGTAAATTTTTCGTGCCCCCTCCCGAATCTCCCATCCATTTGTGATCAATAGATTCCCACAATTTCTCCCTGAAAATGTTGTAAACCCCCTAATTTAAATGACCTGCGTGTCATTTCGTGTATTCTTTCGAGATTGTTTTACTGCCGCATTATCCGGCCCTCGGGCCGAGAATTTGCTAATAAACGTTATTATGTTCTTATCGGCTTAATCTCCGGTACGTGTTCTATTGAACACATCGAGATTAACATATTTTTGGAAATGGTTCGGTTAGCAGAAGCTTGCTTCTCGCCAAACAGCGTCGTCCCGGCATTGCACATGCCGTCGGGATCGGCGCACACCCCCACAACGGGTGAACAATCTCAAACACGAATTAGAGATACAATTCGGTAATATGCAGATAATGGTAAATGATTAAAAACCGCTAGCCAGAAAAATCGGTGGACCTGCCTTTCTTGCCCCTTTAAAGGGGCTCCGAACTGCCAAATCAAAGCCCTTTTGGGAGGGCTCTTTGATTTCTGGCAAATTGCCAGCGGGCGCTGCGGGACGCGAGCCATCACTCTTTCGATTTTTGCGCCAAGTTGTTTTTGCCCGGTTTCTTTGTGAAAACACTCAAATTCGCGCATCCTGAGCCCATTTTTGAAATCCTCACTCAATTTTAAATAGTTTTGGTGTTTTAATCATCAAATTTGGCCCAGAAACAGCCGAGAACGTGATTTCGAGGTGACAACAGACAATTTCAAATTAGCGAGCTTCCCGCTCCCCTAGGTGTACAGAGGCCTCCGACGTACAGGGTTCAGATTTTCGGGCTGTCACTCAATCTTTGGCATTTCGTAGCCCCTTTAAAACCCAAGCTGATTCCACTTTTTTTTTGAGGAGGCCCACCCACTTACCAATGCCCGCCCGGCTGGAGCTACTTTGCGACTAGTGGAGCGTGTTATTGGGTACATTTCGGAAGGATTACGGTATGAACAGTGTATTTTAGGTCGGCTCTAGCAATACGGTAGACGCGGCCCGAACCACGTGCACCCAGATGGGGGCCGACCTGACGTCGATCCACAGCGCCGAGGAGAATGGATTCGTTTTGGGTAGGGAGTTTCTTGCTCTCTCTCTCTCTCTCTTTCTCTCTCTCTCTCTCTCCCTCCCTCTTTCTCTAACCCCACCCATTTAGGTCTGGCCTTCCGCTACACTCAAACCTGCACCCAGGCCAGCCCCTGGTACTACTCGGTCTGGACTGGAGGTACTGGAATTTGCATAAAATCTTCGAAAACGATTTTTAGGTATTGTCGCTAATGGATACAACTATTGGTCTGATGGAACCCCATTCACCTACGCTAATTTCTACGGCCATGGCGATCCGGTGAACGGAGCGATTTATGTAAGTTAGGGGGGGGGGGGGGGGGAGAGAGAGATAGAGAGAGAGAGAGAGAAAGAGCGCAAGACTACCACTAACTAAGCATATTGAAATTTCAGCTGGTTACCGAAAGCGGATGTTCCGATTTCTCCCTCTGGCGCGTGACCGGCTCGAAGACGGCGTCACTGACGAACTTCGTCTGCAAGAAGTACATTGGAAATTAAACTCCAGAAAGATGAGAAGATGATGGGAATAAACGGGATTTTTTGCAACGGAAAATTATTTGTCAACAGAGGAATAAAATTCATAAAAGTATAAAAAGCAAGGCAATAATGGCGAAAAAATCGAACAAGATTTGAAAACTCTCTCTCTCTCTCGCTCTCTCTCTCCGTTGGCTTTTTTACCCAAAGCACCAACCCAATTTTGTGATCAGTGTTGAACCGAAGCTTATCACAGCCCAAAATCCAAATCACTGGCGCTTCCGGAAAAATTCTTGAGATGATTAAGCGAAAACTCTGACGGAGTAGAACCTGGTGGAACTGGACGCAGCCCTCATGGACCATTGGACCAAGCTAGGCGGCACAGATAAGCCGAGTCAAAGAGATAAGAGAGAGAGAGAGAGAGAGAGAGAGAGAGCAAGATTACCACTAACTAAGCATACTGAAATTTCAGTTAGTTACCGAAAGCGGATGCTCCGATTTCTCCCTCTGGCGCGTGACCGGCTCCAAGCCGGCGTCGCTGACGAACTTCGTCTGCAAGAAAATGAAGAGAAGTACATTGGAAATTAAACTCCAGAAAGACGAGAAAGGATGGAAATAAACGGGATAATTTTGCACCGGAAAAATTTTTGTCTACAGAGGAATAAAATTCACAAAAGTATAGAAATGCAAGGCTACAATGGCGAAAAAATCGAGCAAAATTTGAAAACTTTCCCTCTCGCTCGCTCGCTCGCTCTCGCTCTCTCTCTCCCTCTCTCTCTCCCTCTATCTCTCTCCCTCTCTCTCTCAAGCTTATCAAAGCCCAAAATCCAAATCACTGGCGCTTCCGGAAAGATTCGTGAGATGATTAAGCGAAAAATCTGACGGGGTAAAACCTGGTGGAACTGGACGCAGCCCGCATGGATCATTGAACCAGGCTACGTGGCACAGATAAGCCGAGTCAATATATAAATTCGGAGCTAGCAGAGATTATTGCGTTTTCAAGTCCTGAATTGAGCATGCTGCTTGTACCCTTGCTGTCACTTTTCATTGTCAGCGCAGTTGCTAAATACCTGCCGATCCCGAAAAGTAAGTATCATAGATGCATGTCGAGAATTGTTGTTATGTAATGATGATTGAACTGCTAATAAAAACATTGGGTTCATGAGCTTTAATTAACCCTCGATTAAAGAAGTTGCGTCGAGTTGCGTTGCGTTGTAGTAGCATTGCAGTCGCGTCACGTTCCCCCTTTGCGTCGCGCTGGAGTAGCGTAGCGATCGCACTACAGATGGTTAGATCTGGACATACTGACATGACGCGCCTCCGCATTTCCATTGCGTAATTGGTAACTGCTCCTTTACTGCGATGAAGCGGCTTGCGCGTCACGTGCCGCGTGGCGTGTTGTTAGGCTTCTCGTGTGTCGCGTAGCGTGCGGCGTCGCGTGTCACAATAGGATTTAGCGTTCTTTAAAATTGTCCTTTTAAAAGCCAATGAAGGCGCGGGAATCAACAACACTCAGGCCGGACAAGTACAAAATTCTTGACACATCGCGTAGATGTCGAGACCTAGTCAATAGGAAAGGTCGATTCGCGCACTTCTCAGTCCCTTTAAAGCTCTGTACCATTCCAGGCAATTTCAACGCCGCCGAAGCTGTTTGCCAAGCAAATGGAGGGCATTTGGCTTCGGTTCACAACGCTTTTGACAACAAGGCCGTTACGGCATTTGTGGTTCAACAGGGATATTCAGCCGCTTTTATTGGGTTGCAACGGCAGCCGAGTGGAAAATGGCTATATTCTGATGGCTCTGCCGGCAATTATTTTAATTGGGCAATCTGTAGGTTTCGCTTTCTTTCTTTTCTCTCTCTCTCTCTCTCTCTCTCTCTCTCTCTCTCTCTCTCCCGCTCTCCCTCTCTTTTAGTCAAATTTTTTAGTCAACCCAAATACTGACAACTGCGTAACGGTCGGCTCGGACGGGTACTGGTATTCCGTCAGCTGTACGAACAACCTGGTGGCTGTTTGCTATATTCCGGACCGACCTGCCGTACCCCCACCGCCCACTACCGTAGCCAAGACCAGGGCGCGAAAAATTTTTGAGAACTCCCAAAAGGACCGCCGCCAGGCGATTTCTGATTAGGGTTTAGACCAGCGCCGCGATAGCGGCGCCGATTTTTTCGTAATTGGAACGATAATTGTTGCGAAACTAATGAAAAATCGTGATTTTTTTGTAATTTACCTGTGTTGTAAATTTGTTTTTGCTTCTTGTAACAAATATTTGTAATAAATATCACCAGACAAATGGAGCCATTTACGTGGGTTATTTGGATCATCTTTAAAAATATGGATCTCTTAGACGAGGTAGAGTCGCATTCGTAATAATGTAAAAATTAAAGAGTGGTTGGGGTTCCAAGTTATGTTAGTCAGCCCTAATCCCAGATGGCGACAGAAAGCGGAGGCTCTGATTTTGCCCAATGGCGAGCCACCCCGCTGAAGACGGCCATGCTGACGAATTTTGTGTGCAAAAAATTTCCAGTTTAATTCGGAATCACGATTTGAAAGGAAATAAATTATTAAGTAACGTCGTTTGGTCACACAATGGAATGTCACTAGCCCGTAGCCCATCCTACTCACCCCAAAATGATTAGCATTTCCCGATATGTGAACATAGTGGGGTTGGTACCAGTCCCGTCGTGGTCAGCGCCACAATCGATAACCATTTCTGTTTGTCTGTCCCTCTCATCCCTTTTTGGGGAACGATACGGACGAGTCAATGGCTGGCACAGGAACGGCCTTTTCTTACCAAAATTGGCCGCTATTTGTAAATCGTAATTTTCCGCTGTTCCCTTTGATGAAGGATTTATACCTAGCTGATATACGTGGTATTTGGCTTTGTATTTTATATATTTTGGCGTTTTGCTCTTTACACCTAAAAAGTTCAGCTTGACCGAAATAACATACTAAGACAGACCGGATCAATACCGAGGACCTCAAAAACTTGTAGGTTTTGGTTGTCGGTCCTAAAAATAGGCCCCCCTTCCCTGTCGGGAAAAAACAGGTGGCACCAGGGCACCGAAATCTCTTTCCAGAATTTGGTATTCAATTTATGTTTTGGGCCCGATTTTAGGCCTGTTATTTAAACATCATATTTATTACAATTACACAGAACAACAGAACATTTTGATGTGTTTTGTGGGGTTGGGCGGCTAAGCAGCCTCAGCTAGCACAGAAGGGTCCAAAATACGAAAGTCCGTCGAAGCGGATGTGCGAGTGATCGTCTTATCAAAGAAAAAAAATTCAGGAATTTAACATCTGAAATCCTCGATTTTAAGGATCCTGCTGCCGTGTAGATCGAAAATATTCATATGACCCAAGAAGAGACCAAAGGGACCCAGTGGCGCTAGGGCTGGACCTGGTGGAATAACATTCCGAGTAAGTGTTGCTTTGGTACACAGGGAACCCCCCACCCCTTCTGAGGGGCCCTGGGGTCCCTACTCGGCTCCCCGTCCAGTCACTCGCAGTCTGTACTTCTCTTTTTTTGCTACTTCTACCCTTCCTACCTTACACATTCATTTCCTTGGCTCTATATATACTCTTATCTTTTATTAATGTCGCACTTTGTATCCAAATAAAATGTTACTACCTACTTTCAGCTTGGCAATGACTAAACCAGCTACACCAAAAAGGAACCCCGAAAAGGAGGAGCCGCTCAAGAAAGCTGCCCCGAAAATTAGCAAGGTAGGAGAGCGAGAGAGACATCCCATACATTTTCAGCAATACGACGACTCCAAGCAGTTGATCAGCATCAAGGGCGTCTTAATTTCGCTAGTATTTTCGTTTGTATTCGCCTGTGCTGGAACTTACTTATTCGCCAAGCCACTGATCGAGCCCGTTGGATATAGGTAAGCTATATAAGCTTAGAACGAGAGAGAGAGAGAGAGAGAGAGAGAGAGAAATTGAACCTATCAATCTCAGCCTTCCTCCCGCCCCTCCATTTGAAGGCGCCCTGAAGCAAAATGAGGTTCTTGCCAAGGCAGAAAGGCTGCTGCTCGATCAGGTATGCTAATTCAAATTTGGAAGCTTGCGTTGCGTTGAGCCCAACAAATCGAATTTTGACCTTAAAAGCTTGAGTTTTTCGTCCACATCTTGAATGTTTCCCTTGAAAACGTACTTAAAAGTCTGATTTTGACGCTGTAACAAACATTTTTCAGATCTACGGCCCCGAATCGCTTGCCATCCACCCGGTGTCCGGGCGGCTTTGGGCCAGCATGAAGACTGGGTTGATTTGTGAGATTGCGCTGGATGGGGATACGGTAATCAGTCGCAGGAAATATTTAATTAAAAAATTTCAGCCCGAAATCAAGCGTGCGGTTTCCCTAACGAATTTCACGGATTGCGATGGATCCTACACGTAAGCTTAATAAGGCTATATCACATTCCTGCGCTTTCTGTCTCTCTATCTCTCTCTCCCCGCCTTCTGTCTCTTCTCGCTCTATATATATCGCTCTCATGTAAATTTTTAGCACGGCTTCTCGTTGCGGTCGTCCGCTCGGACTACGCATCACTCCTAAAGGCGAACTACTAGTAGCTGACGCTTATCTGGGACTCTTTTTGATAGATTTGGATCGAGGTAAGCTATTTTACTAAAGCAAAAGCATTAACTTACGCGTTCAGAAAAAGTATCCAATCTATTCGCAAGTGGCTCCGAGGTCAACAACGACTTGAAAAATCCAACTCGCTACCTCAACGACTTGGACGTGCTTCCGGATGGAAGGATCGTGATGTCAGGTAAGAGAGAGAGAGAGAGAGAGAGAGAGAGAGAAAGAGAGAGAGAGAGAAAGAGAGAGAGAGGGAGAGATAGCGAGGGATGGAGAGAGCCAGAGAGTCAGAGATAGAGAGAGATAAATTTTGGTACGCTTTTTATCCTTCGTTTAGAAAGCAGCCATCGTTTTGATGATCGTGACTTCTTGCTCGATCTGTTTGAGCACAGACCGAATGGGAGGTAGATATATTTTTCTTCAAAATTAACATTAAAAAAATAGGATCCTGACCTTCAAGCCGTCAACCGGGGAGCTAAAGGCCCTAGCCAAGAATCTGTATTTTCCGAATGGAATCCAGGTCTATGGTAATGATGTCATCTACTCGGAAATGGGCATGGCCCGGATACAGCGGTTCGTTAATTTTCCTTCATTTCAACAAATCATGGTATGGAAAGCTCTTAAGGTGCCTGGAATTCATGGGGTTTGACCCTTATCGTCGCCTAGATCTTGATAGGTTTCCGGCGTTCAAAGCCCATTTTTGAACATTGAGTTGCTGTCGAGACCTAGTCAAATAACCGGGTTGATGTCTGGGTGGCACACTCTGTTTAGAATTAAAATTTTAAAGCTGAAAGCTGAATTTTAACCGTAAAAACCTTGAGCGTATTTAGAATAAACTACAAGACGCTGGAGACCGAAACAATTGTCGACAACTTGCCCGGATACCCTGATAACCTCAGAATGGACAAGCTTGGACAGCTTCTCGTCCCGATTCCAACAATCCGTGACTCGTTTGATGCCTGGCTGGCCGAGCGCCCCGGATTGAGGGCTTTTATCACTACGGTAAGCATGGTGTAAATCTTTCAGAACCCAAAAACACGCTACTTGAACCCCCAATTTTTGAAACACCACGAATATTGCGATTTTCGAGGGTTATAACGGCATCTAGGAAATCGGGGAGGGCCAAAATATAGGAAAAGTGAGCTCTCGGGAAAGAGAGAGAGCGAGAGAAAGAGTAAGGGAGATAGAGAGAGACAGAGAAAGAAAGAGAGAGAGAGAGAGAGAGAGAGAGAGAGAGAGAGAGAGAGAGAGAGAGAGAGAGAGAGAGAGAGAGAGAGAGGAGATCAGACACGCGGCGCACGGGCACACGTTTACCCAGTGCTGCTAGCAGCTTACCTTGTAAGGTACAGTACCAGCAAGCTTTGCCCGCTATGTCCTAACCCGCTTTTTCCAGGTGCTCTCCCCCCGCGCGCTTGCCTTTGTCGCCGAGTACTTTACTACTCCGTACGGTCTCGTGCTACGCGTCGATCCTCTGACCGGAAGAATTATCGAATCTTACCACGACACCAAAGGCGAGACCATGCCGTCAATCTCAATGGCACTTGAGACGACGGATGGCAGACTCTATCTCGGATCGGACACGAATTATTTCCTGGGAAGACTGGAAAACAAGTATCTCTTCAAGAAGAACCTATTTTAACCTATTTCTTTCACTTTTTATGCTAATATTGTGATCTCCGGCTGTACAAAATAATAAATTGCTGACGTAGATGTATACGCATATTTACACGACGATTTATCGAAATCAGTTCCAGGCTTTTCGTGTCGTAAGAGGTTGAACACACAAAAGCATGAGCCATAAAAAGCCTTTGTAACACTCTTTATCACTATTTACACTATATTAATAAAAGATTTTGGAAAACGTATTAGCGACTATGTTTCTGCCCAAATTACGCCCGCTCTCCGCGTTATTCGGCTAGTTGCCAGCCGGGTTCCCTCCCAAAAACCCCGGGTTGTCATGGCGATGCGGCCACACCACAGCTGGTTGTCGCGGACCCGGCATCCTAATTTTTGGCTATTATTACGATCCTCCACGCATATTGAAACTCTAAATATCGAAAATGTCGTATCGCGAATTAAGGAGTAAGTTAAGGTCCATAGATTAATTTATTTAACCGATTAGACCTCTGTGAAATGTGCCGGATCGCCGGTTTCCCAAGGCCTATTTCCATCGACTCATTTCGGGAACCGAATTTCCCACTTGTCGCTGAATTATTGGAATGGATCGTGTTACGGTAAGTAAAGTAAAATTATAATAAGTCTTTATACCTTTTAAAAAGTAGTATGACCCTACTCACAAAAAAACAACTAAAAAAATAGCATTTTTCAGTTTTGAACCAAACGCGCTGATGTCAACAAAGTGCAGCACTGAGCAGGAGAGGGTAAGCATCCTAATAAACTTCATTGCTATTTTTTCTAGGTAATCTTCATCAAAAGCGCAGTGCTGTTGCTGATTCAGAATGCGAGGATCAAGCTGAATCCGAAAAAGCTGTACATGGTAAGATATCATGATTTTTGGCCTTTCCACCTTCAGAAACGCCTGCCTTTTGGACCTACGGTATTAAAACTGCCATTTTTTTATTGGCCATGCCATTTAAAAATTAAATTTGTGTATTTCAGGCCGACGGTCACGCCGTCCAGGAACTCGTCCAACCTTTGAAAATCCTGTCGCTAGCGGATAGAGGAAGCACGAGTGAGGCCCATGCCGTGACTATACCCGTGATCCGTACGAAATTGGCGACAAAGGTATCGGATGATATCGGACGACTAAAGGGTTTTCTCGGTTCTTAATTCCTGTGTTTTCCTGAATGCCTAGCTTGCGCGTCGCGGTCTTTCGCATCTGGAATTACAATCATTCGACGACGATCTTTTTACTACACTCTAGGAACTTCATTATGATTGCACTAATTATTTTTTTTGATCCTATTACACTCGAAAGTACCTAATTCCAGCTCCAAGAGGTCCGTCAATGCGCCTCGCTTGCCGCCCAGCTACCCCAAACCGGGTCGGCGTTGAGCTCGTTGCTTGAGAAGGAGCTGCACTATCGGGTAAGAATTTCTTGTATGAGCTTAGGACCTAAAAACCCGCTGTCATTCCGCCTTTAAAAAGCGCTAGCAGCAGAAAAACCGCCTACGATCCGCAAGACCTCGATAGCTAGGCGGCATTCCAAAAAAACGCGTGAGAACGCTCTGGTACCCTAGGAAATGTCAGGTTTTAGGACGATAGAACCAGCGTTTTTTGGAACTTCACGTAGCCGTCGAGACCTAGTCTATATAAGGTTTCGATTCGCACACTTCCTAGCACCTTTAAGGACGCAAAATGGCTAAATTTTTAGGCCGACCGTAGCCGTGCTCTATCCCGTGCCCTGCCACCGTCCGAAGCCGAGAAAGCACTCCGAAATGCTACCACAGCGCTTTCGACATTGGCCACCCAAACGGAGGATAAACTCAACAACGTTACCTCTGATGAAAAGGCGCTTGACGAGAAAATTGAGAGGAAGCGCAGGGAGTACGAGCAGATGCAGAAGCGGCTGGCTAAATTGCAGGTAAATTTTCGGGGGATAGCTAGTAGAGACCATTGCGGAATCGATTAAAATCCCATTCCAGTCATTCCGCCCTCAATACATGGACGAGTACGAAAAATACGAGACGAAACTGAAGCAATTGTATGATATTTACGTGCTCAAATTTCGGAACTTGTCGTATCTACAACTACAGATGGTGGAGATGGAGAGGGCAGACAGGCAGAGACAAGCAGAGACTGAGACTAATATGCGACAGGTTAGTCATGTTTCAGTCAATTTGATGCAGCTAGAAGGGGCAAGCCAGCAGAGGTTATTTAGGATATAAGGCTGCCACGGCGGGGAGGCAAGCAGAGACCATTTGGGAACCCGAAAACACAATAAAGGCCAAAAATCTGAACGTAAGACAGGCTCCCATGGAGGATACCCAAACTAGCACGGAATCTTTGGGAATCCGAAAACCCGATCAGAGCCAAAAATTTCTGGGCGCATGGCAGGCGAGCAGAGATTCTTAGGAAATAGCGACAGTTTAGGCTCGGCAAGCTAGCAGAGATTTTTAAGGATAGACGCGCTCAAAAATCGTATCCGGACGTGTTTGCACCAAAGCTTCCAAAGCGTAAGTGCAAGCTAGCAAAGATTCTTTAGGACCCCGGCGTCGCTGAACCGGGGCAGGCTAGCACAGATCATTGAGAAATTCAATCCAAATACTATCATCGCCAGGCAAGCCAGCAGAGATTCTTTAGGAGCCTGATCTCACTGGCCCGGGGCAGGCTAGCAAAGATCTTTTAGGAAAAAGGCCCCGATACTTTTCAGGTCGTCGAAAAGATGCGCACCGACAACGCGAACCAGGCCCCGCCCATTGACGTCTCCGAGCTGGATGACGAGCCGGAAGCGATGCGACCGACTGGAGGTTGGGCATAAAAACACAACCTTTTAATAGATGGATTCTTCTTACAAGGAGACGTCTTTTAGTGTCCACGGAGTTTCGAAAGGGGACCAAGCCTATTTTATGCAGAATTTTGCGCTGATTAAAACCTCGTTTTCAGAATCCGCGAAACGACCAAAATAAGAAAGTTATGACGCTTTAAAGGGCGAAAAACGGCAAAAGTCGGCCATTTTTCACACTTTAAAGCTTCATAACTTTTGAAATATGGTCGTTTTGCAGATTCTGAAAAGTCCGTTTTGATCAGCGAAAAATTCTGCATCAAATAGGCTTGGTCCCATTTTAAAACTCCGTGGACACTAAAAAAGTCTCCTTGTTAGACGAAGCTTATTGACTATGGAAAAAAAATCCATAACGCTGGTTCTTAGGAGCTCGCCGCATCTACGGTAACATGATGGGTGTCGGTTTCTCGGATGAGGAAGAGGACAGTGATGATGACGTGGATGTTAGCGATGGAGATGAGGAAATTGACCATGGAAGGTAAGGAATTTCTTTTTCAACTCCAAGCCATTTATGTTTTTTTTTTAATTTTAGCAAACCTTACACCCGCTATAAAAAATGATTAACGTTTCTAAATTTCTTATTTTTAGAGCAATGAAGGACCGAATTCCGGCCGCTGGCCGTTCTCGAAAGCCGGTGCAGCATTTGGAGGTAACTTTTTTAGCTCGCTACGCCGCCAAAGTTGCTACTTGTTTTGTAGCTTGAAGACGTCGAGGACGAGATGGCGCCCCGGGAGGGAGATAGCGGCGATGATTTTTGAGCCAATAATCAATTTTCTGACCCTTTCTACCCGATTCTGAACAAACTGTAATTTTGGTGTTTTTTTTGCCATAAAAACTGTAGTTTCGATCGATTAAACACATTTATTTGCAAAAAAAACTTTGGCACTTTCTTAAATACACGAAAAACCCGTTACCAATTCCTAGAGATCATAAATACAGACTACAAAAGCATTAATAGAGGAAAATTAGCAGAAAAATTCAGCCTAACCTGCAAAAAAGCAAGAATAATTCGAATCAAGCAAATCTGGCATCAATTTTAATTAGGGTGAAAACACATTTAAAAACAATTCTAAGCTTCATTAAAAAGAAACTAGCTTATTTCCCGATCTTAATAGCTTACAAACTACAAAAAAAGCATTAATTAGGCGTTGAAAAAGCCCAAAATGAAGCCTAACTTGCAAAAAAAATACAAAAATTGCGTCGTTTTCATAAAGCCATTCTAGAATTATTTTTAGACTAAATACAATAGTATTTTATCTATCCTTCGGCAGCGGCCAATATTGTCGAATCGTCGAGTTGAGCGCCATCTGAACAGCCGCATCAATGGGTCGCTCGATGATCGGAATCGTGGCCAAGGGGATGGCACAAGCGATGGACTTCTTGGCCCAGTTGTTCATCTTCCGATTCTTGGACAGTAGATGGAGGGATCCCTTGGAGACTTGGCGCAAGAAGATGCCCGGGATGATCAGGTTGCTCAGCAGCTGCCACACGGCCGTGTCGAGGATCAGGCGAGCACGCGTGCTCCGGGCGTCAAGCACCTTTTTGTCCTGAAAATGGGTCAAATAGCGTGGCTTACATCAATCAAAACTTTTAAATTTGAAACGTATGTGTTTCATTCGTTTCAAAAGTTTTTTATGAGATTTTTGGGTCGCAAAATCATCTACAACAAAGCTTTATACCCGTGTTTAAAGGAAAACGCTAACTGCTTTAAATTTCATTTAATTGACGCTCAAAATGAAGCAGCCGAAACCTATTACTGTAATTTCAGGCTTTACCACTTCAAAAATACCTAAAACAGCATAGCTCGATTTTCGCTACTGAAAATGCCAAAATTCTTTTCCGTTTAGCAACTGCGAATGCGTAAAATAGACGCATAATCACCTATTTTTAGCTGCAGAATTGCATTAAAAAGGTAATAATCGTAAAACCCTACTTTCAAATGCGCCCTCATCCTCCTCGGCTCATCCATGGCCATCGCGCCGACGTACGAGGCCGGGGTCACGTAGCCCATCGCGAACAGCCAGCGCGGCAGGATCGGGCGCAGCGATTCGGCTATCTGAAAGTCATTCTTAAATTTTAAAATATACTTTAAAAGCGGCTTTCTACTATTATTAAAACCCAGCTCAATTTGGAGTATGAAAATGTCATGTTTACTATAATTTTTCGAGAAATAAAGCTAAAAATACCTGACTAATATATCCCAGCTTTCGAAGCGGCGTCTCGCGGTACCAATCCAGCGCTTCTAGATCGCGAACGACGAGGTGAAACGAATCCGCGCCGGCCATATCCTGAAAAGGGTAAAATTTCTAGGTGAAAACTGAATTTTTGTTTTTGAAAGTGAAGAACTTCGATAAACACAATAATTTCTTTTATTTTCTACACATCTGTTCCAATATTTCCTGTTTATTATGTTTACACCAAAGGGAGATCTTGGAACCCGGGTTCGAAGTTCGCTGACCCATCCCGGGGGCCGTTATTGTGCCGCCGTAATTTGTTTGCGGGCAAAAACCCGGAAAATGGGATTCGGCGCCGGAAATGGCATAATTTTGCGGGTTGCAAAAAGGCTGGGGTTCAGATACGGAACTCATTTTATTACAACCAATTTAATATTAAAAAGTTAGACAAACAACTAGACATGCCTAACTTTTTAGTTTGCAAGCCGCAGGGGCGACGCTGCGCTCCTATCGACGCTGAGGGCGGTTTTCAAGCGCGTAACGGAATCTGGACCAATCAAAAAACGCAGCGAAAACGCTAAAAAATAGTCGTATTTGAGCAAATCAAATGAATCTGTTTTAACAATTGAAAAAGAAAATGACGAGAAGCTTGTTCAAGCCCGAGTGAAAATCCAAGGTTCGGGTGAAATTGGGCTTTTCAGAAGTTATGTTTAATTTTTATGCTTCAGAAGCTTCTGATATCGCATTTTTAAATGCCTTCAAGGCAAAAAATCTAGATATTTAAAATGATACAGAGGATATAAGAGATACAGAGGGCTACACTCGAACTTACGGAAAAAAGATTTCCTTATTAGAGGGCCGTAACATTGTGAGGATCCGGTTACCTTGAAAATCAACTATGCTGTTCGAAGCAGCTATCCGAGATCTATCCCTGAAAAACAGTTAGAGGCGCAGTTAGCACTCTTATCAATTACAGAATTTTATAGTCTATTTTCGGTTGATCGCACAGTTTTTTCGTATAACTTTGCTAGAGTCTACCAAAACTGCGTATTAAAGATCACATCGCAAATCCGTATTATTCGGCCTGGGATTTTAAACATTGAATTCTGGGCGCTGGGACCGAGGCCAATTGCACCAATGTGCACACACACATCGGGTGCTGAAGAAGCGGCGCAATTCTCTCACGGGTAAGGTGGCCCCCGTCCAAATTCAGCCGTTATTTTAGCGTTTACTTATTTAAAAAGGTCGATGAATCGTAGCTATGAATGGGCCAAAAGCGTACCATTGGCTGAAAGCGACACCGATCTGCTGCTGCAGCCAAGATTTTGGGGCGTGATTTTGTGGCTCTTAATGGTTTATATAGTCCATTCTCTAGCAGCCGTTAGGAGTATCGGATCGGAATGATTTCTATGACATTGCGGTTCTTTCACACCCAATACAGCTAAACAACGAAGCTCCAGGGCGAAGGCCGGCTACGACATAATTCAAATGACGTAGCGACGTAACGAGTAGCATAACGTACTATCTCGTTTTCGAAAATTTTTTGGTTATACTAACAATCAAAAAAGCTTATAAACACACAAGGTTATAACTTTTTTAACGTTTCATTTATATTTCATCGATTTCATCATGCTTTTTTACCCCTTGCCCGAAAATTTTGTGCCTTGCGGACAAATTTTTGCTAAATTTTTGAAGAACCGGGGGTCCTGCAGGATAAAATAGCACGAATTCAGAACCAGGAGGAAAAATAGTGTATTTGAAGTATCCCTGAATCTCCAGACGCACCTAGAACTTCGCGGGAATCCTCAAAATGTGGGCCAGATAACTAGTTTGAGTTTTTTCGGCCGAATATAGTTCACGTTTGGGTCAGAGCATACACTCAAAAGATGCGCCTTCGTCCTCTCTATAAAGTTCTCAACTTTGAATCTGTTTAAAAACTCGTTTTGACATAGATTTTAAATAATTTATTATTTCCCCCAACCCAGGTTTTTCGGGAAAGGCCCGCCACTGACCCATATAGTGCGACCCATTGACCGTAACCCAGCGCCTTTTCCTCACCTAATCCGGCCCCCGGCGAGAATACGACACAATACGTTTACGAATTCCGTAATGAGTGTACTTGTACTTCGTTGCAGGTTTAAGTAAGGCTGTACCGGCTGTGCTTTGGCATTATCGGTGAAGGGGAAGGACCTCTTTTTGCTTATATGGACAACTATCTAAAAAAATGCAGCCTAAAAATTCCTAAAAATTTTGTTTATGGGTTTGATTATCTCAAATGCGATTTGGGCGCAATAAATCACAAATGCTGCCCTGTAGGTGAGAAAGTGCTTCCGTTCACGCTAGATCAGGCCCTTTTCTCACAATTAGCGGGCCAGTTTCGACCGCGTTTTTTTGCATTGGCGTGAGAAGTGTTACATTTTTGGCGCACGTACCCGGCACAGGGAGGAAATTTGACGCATGTTTTTTCAGGCTGTTTTTGTTGATATTGCCAGTGATTTTTTGCAGGCATTTAAGTTTTTGGGCAGCCATGTCCATTGTAATACCTTGCCGGTCCCTTTAAATATGTCTTTATTGTTTTTTGCCTTTAATTCTTGGATTGTCGTTTTCTGCTCCCAAACGTGAGCAAAGAACTGCATGGCGGAAGCCGTTTCGGGCTGCCGATCCGCTCGCCGACATGTCGCCAATTGGCAATTACAGTAAGGCGATAACGCCGAGAAATTGGCGCCCGGGTCGACCCCCCGACTGAATGTGATTTGCGTAATGATATTGGGCACCGGTTTTTCCGCGGGCTATGACATTGCAATGTTGAAAATCGTTGATCCCTTCTGGAATGAGTCGGATCTGGACGTGCAGAAAACGGCACAAATTATTCTAAGTCTTTTTAAAGGGGCAGGAAAGCGCCAAAATCGACCTATCTTCCCGCTAGATCTAGGCAATTATTTGCTACACCTAATACATCTCGAGCCTAAATCTAAAGCGCTTCAGAGACGATCTTTTAAACAAATTCAAGGCAAGAGTGCACGTGATGTGGAGTGTCGTGTACCAGCCGAGACCTAGCTGACGGACGGTTCGATTTTCACGCTTGTCAGTTGCCTTCAGTTCAAATATTTTTGTGATTTTTAGGGGATGCGGGAAACGCAACAATTTCTGAATTTTAAATCATTTTAAAGGACGCAGCAGGTCCCAAAATCGACCCCTTCTATCAGCTGGGCTAGCCAGCTACGCGAGGCGCAAAATTGGGCTTTTTATGTAATTTTCTGGCCTGTCAAAGAGACCGTTTTTGCATGAATTTTGCATGGAAACGAATTCGGTGCTGTGAGCTCAGGTCGAGATTTGGAGTATTGCGTAGCTGTCGAGGCCTAGTCAAGCCTAAAATTCGATTCCCGCACTTCCGAATCGCCAATCGAATTGTCAGAAATGTTACTAGTTTTTTTGAAGTTTTAGGCCTAAAAATATTTGTCTCAGCGACATTTGGAGTGTTGCGTACCTGTCGAGACCTAGTCGGTGTAGGGGTCGATTTTCGCGGTTTCCAATCCATTCAAATATCCATTCAGAATCCGTTTTAAATGTTGCTCTGGACT